CGCGTTAAAACTGACAAGCGAGTTGCAAATGGAAAAGAGGAGAGTAGGGAGAGTAATGATTCTTTTATCTCACTCGCACCGCGGAAAAATCAATGAAAGAGAGCGAGTTTGTACACGACACACACACAGTAGTAAAATATGCGCGCAATGGTTTCGGTGAGAGCGAGAGAGAGAAAAACCACCTCTCTGTTGCAATAATTCCACCACCCCTCGCAGCTTCAAAATTATTTGTGGAAATAAAAAAAAAGCGCCGAGCACTTTTTGCCTCATTTTGCATGCCATTATGTGCGATCAAATATTAATAATCAGCGTGAGCAATGAATTCTACACGTGTATTCGCCAGATAATTACAATTAAGTATTCAAAACGGCGCGGCTCGCGTTAATTACATCGTCAACCGCAGTCGCTCTGACGCAAAAAAAAAAAAACGATAATGACGATAATTCACCTGTGAGAATTCAGCACTTCTGGGCCGGAAAAATACATTTTAATGTTTCCTGATTAATTAGCGACATTTTTGCAATTAATCGGCCGATGAATAATTCAGGCGGAATTATTATTTGTCATTTGGCGAGTGTGTGTATTTTTTTTATACCGTCATCCGCTCGCTGGCTGCAGGGTGGCACAATAGATGTGAAGGAATTCGATGGGGTTGCCAGGGGTGGGTGGGCGCCGCGAGGGGTGGCTCTGCCGGAGTATAATAGATAGAGGGCGCTGCAGGGCGGGAGGGAGGGATGGAGCGCGCAATACATCAGTAAATAGGGATGGGGATGAATTCGGCGGAGCGGTGCTCGCGAAGTAGTAGCGGCGGGGGTGAGTGGGTGGTAGAAAAATCCAATATGACGCACTCGTTTTATATTGAAGTTTCCATATTAGAGGGAGGCTGGCGGGCGGGCGGGCGGGAGCAGGTTCGGCAAAAGTGGAGAACTAATGCGCACACTCGCGCGCTCCGCTTCTTCTAGTACATAATTTTACTTTCGTTCTTGTTCGGAAAAGGGAGGAGTAGATTTGCCGGGGCTGCTTTATGTGTAGTTTTATGTGCGGAATAATTATACAGCGCTCGGCTCTTTTTTCACCCAAATGGGTGATTTCAAACGCAGGCCTCATTGAGGTGCGTTCGCGCCAAAACGGCGATTGGGCGCGGCGCCACCCCGCGCACGGAGGGCACCAATCGCGAGGCTCGTTGCAAAAGCTACCCCTGCCGCCGCGTGCTGTAGTATAACAAGTGATGTAGTTTTTATACACCCCCGATGAGTAGGGGTAAGGGGTTGAAAATTTTAGAGAATTTTAACGTTACTTGTGATTGGACTTCTGTACAGTTTTTTTAATATCTCTACAACCCCTCTTTTTATATTACCGTGCCCATGCTCGCACACACACTCCGCCGGCACACGCAAAAAGTATGCTTAGTGCCTATTTATTCCGAAAGATGTCCCATAAAATGTTGATAAAGTTTTATAATATTCCGCTCCTAGTAGTATACTTTTTTTCGCCGAGCGGCATACAGTTTTTCGTTTAGTGCGGTGCTTGCTTGCTCGCTTGCTTGGTGTGTGCTTTTTATTTCGGGACCGAGTGCGGTGCAACGACGCGGCTGCAAACGTGGACCGAGCTCCGCTCACCTTTCCGCTCAAGCAGGTAAAATTATCGCGTTTTCACGCTGCTTTTTTTCCACATTCCGTCCTTCCTTCTGACCAGCATCTCATTCTTGATCTTTCCCTCACGTGGGTCTCGTGTGTCCGTCCGCCGAGGCAACGCAATTGTCTGTGCGTTGTTGATGTGTGTGAGAGCGTGTGTGTGTTTTCTTTGGGGCATCTCTCTGCTCGTGGCAAGCATGCTCTTCTCTTATTCGGCCGCACCAGCGCCTTTGACTCAAACAGATGACCCCGTTCTTGACCCTTTGCGCCCCACACAGACGCGCTTATTTGGCACACGCTCATTGCTTTTGCGTATTTGCTGAGCAAACACGCTGCGAAATTATATTGGCTGATAATATATAATATAAACTGACTTGAAGAGGGGGAAACGCCAGACAAAAATCTTTCTGAAAATCCAGAAAATTTTGTAGATTTTTCCAATGTGTTAATTGAATTTTAATAATTTATTTTGTTAAATTGTTTTTGAAACTCCTAAAAAAAACATCATTTTATAATTACAAATATATCACAATTTTAAAACAAAACTCTTTGTACTTGTAAATATTTGGAAATTTTCGCTATATTTTCAATTTTTGTCAGAATTCTAGTGTTTTTAAGCGAGAATGGTTTTGCATTTGTGCTCTCCCTCTCCCTAAAAATTGTCGTCCAACTCTTTGCTCACCGCGCTCGGAATTGATTTTTCAAATAAGCGAGCGAAAAACTCATGAATATGGGCGCAGCGCGTGTATGTTTCTGGCACCCTCTTTTCAGCTAGAGCTCCCTAGATGCGGTCATGATAGGCTTTTTGTTGAGCACATTTTCGGTGCAGGTTGCCTACGTACGAGGCTTTTCTCTCCCCCTCGCACGCACGTACACACGGCACTTGTATTATGTGCACCTCCAGCAAATAGAGCTACATTTATTTTTACCATTGTGCTGCACGCATACGTACCGAACGAGAAGCCATCGAGCATAATTTCAAAGTACTTTAAACACACTGATATCGAATTCGGTCTGGGAAATGAATTTTCACACATAAAAACATTGTATTTTACAAGAACACTGGAAATTTTTTACTCGCAATCAGATTATTCAGATAAAGAGATGAAAATTTATAACTTTAGAGTAGAAGAAATACAATATAAATAATTATTATTGAGTTTCTTCTCCTGTAAAGTTGTATTTAAATTTGAACTAATTGTGAATCTGAATCTCGTACACAAATTTGAAGGTTTTAGGAATTTCCTGCATGACCTTAAATTACTTTTTTTACTCAGAATCATCGCAATGTAAATGAAACTTCCAGAGCACATTTATGTTGAATTTTATCTAGCAAAGTTGCCAGCTCGGGGCGCTAGCTTGTCGTGCACTTGTTTGACGAGAAGCGATTTTATTACACAGCTCTTTACTTTTGAAACTGGCAGTCAGACAGACCGGCTATCTATAACCGAGATTCCAGGCCGGAAGAGGTTGCAAGGGAAATAAAAACACTTACACAAGTCAGAAAATGGCCGATTTAGTTAGCTTTGGCCAATAATCGGTCATTGCTTCCTCTTTTTTTTGCTTCAAAATATAACACAAAGTGCTTTTCTTTCTTGAGCTCTAAGAAATTCCAATTAAAAATTCACGTTTTTACAAATTCGCGCGCACATGCTGGCACCGCTGAAAGAAAATATTTATATTTTCGTACTTGAATGTGGTCGGCGCGCAAAACTACTTTCACCTGCCGCGGCCGAAATGCAGTCGCGAGCCTTGACTCTAATTCTGCGCGCTAATGTCAAACGGCGAGCAAGAAACGATAATGTGCATTTTGCAAATGAGGCTTTCCGTCTTGAAGGAGGAGGAGGAGGACGGTGTCGACGCAAGGAAAAATATTGAGTACGCCGAGGGGACTGCAAAGCCGGTTTGCTGGCTGCAAAATTATTTCCACTCTGGGTTACTCTCAAATTTAGCCGTTACTTTTTATTATTCACCAGCAGCTTTTTGCGCACTTGCTCTCCGCTGCAAGGTTATTTTAAAACTGCAAACTCACTTGCTGACCAGACTTGATTTGGGTTTAGAAATTCAGCATAATCCCGTTTGAAAAACGGTTTATGGTTCATTTAATCTGACTTTCCACGATTAAACATTAAACTTGGCGTTTGGAAGTTTTAGAAATTTAGGTAAAGAAAAAAATCTTATAGAATTTATTTGAATTTTCTTTAACTTGTAAACTTTTATTTTTTACTTTAAAATTGAACCGAAAAATTCTATGTTTAAAGTTTTTTACTTTAAATTATTTTGGCAGTTGTAGAAAAAACATTTTCAATTTAAGAATGTACGCTTCATTCTAGGTAACTGTAATTCTATTTTTACATGTGACTCCGTGGTTGAAGATTATTATCAAATGGATTGTATCTCTCTTTTTTTTTGCATTTTATTGTACCGAATGGCGCGCATTAGTTTTTTTACTCTGCAATACCCTTGGGCCTGCATATCCCCAGCGATTTTATACTTGTTATACTTTTTATTTTCTAGTTAGATTCGGGAGTCCACGGGCATTTTACGACTGCGCGCGACGAATAAATTTGCCCCGCACTCGTCTATTATCTGATTCCATTACTTCGGTCCTCGCGTTCGCCATTACCAGCGCAGAGTTATGAAACCATCGCATTTGAATGTAAACCAGAGAGAGAGGTCGAGTAGCACTAAACTTTTTTAGATAATCGATAGGCTCGGCGCAAATATTTGCCGGGGGCAAAAATCATCAAGCGCTCTTTTAAGCGTTCTAGATTAACATTCAAAAGTATTTGCAAACGAAAAACAACGCAAAAAAAGTAAAATAATTTTAATGAAGGGGAAAGAGAATAAAATGTGCTCAGTCAAGGAACGTAAAAAAATTATAATCAGCTCATTAAAAAAATGTGCTACATTTTCCGTATTCCAGAAAGTTCTGCGTGTAATTGCTTTTGTTTTAGTACCAAAATTTGCGACTTGAAAACTAAAAATTTGAAGGGAAAATTGTGTCGAGGAATGATATCGGACGGAAACCGATTCTGCTACTGGCCGCCCGCGCTTTATCACTTCTAGACGTTTTTCGTCAGCGTTCACGCATTGATAATGGCACAATTATTTCTCCAGCCAGTCCTCCCTTGACGTACGTGTTTTTAATTGCATGGTCAAAAGACCTATCCACTGTTTCACTTCCTTCGTTTGACATGAACGCAATCACAAGGCAGTAAAATGCTACGTGCCAGCAGAAATTAAAAATTGTCAGCAGCGAATAAAAGTAGAGGCCCGTCTGACGGTTTCCGCAATCATGTTCAAAACATTTCCGAGGAACCATCACCAACGAGCTTTTCAAAACGGCCCTGATTTTGTCCGCAGGGGGTGTGTAGGCGGTAAAATGGTGGACACCCAGCACTTCTGCCTCCGCTGGAACAACTACCAGAGCTCAATCACCTCGGCGTTCGAGAACCTGAGGGATGACGAGGACTTCGTGGACGTGACCCTTGCGTGCGAGGGCAAGAGCCTCAAAGCGCACAGGGTCGTGCTTTCCGCGTGCAGCCCTTACTTCAGAGAACTGCTCAAGGTTAGTAATTCAATTTTCTCTCTTAATCCTAGGAAATTATTATAAATTTTGCTTAATTAAATTATTGTGAAAATATTAATTTTTGAATTTTTTTTATAATTTACTTCTTCTTATATTTGCAATTTATTTTCACATGGCTCCAGCAGTTGGCAATAGCGAACAAAGTGACTCCTTTTGAGGAACATTTAGAAACAAAATATTATCAAGAGTAAAACTAATTAATTTAGCATCCCCTGCTCTGGCCTCTTGCGTCTGTTCTGCGTTTCGTGATAAAATAAAATTCAGGAGTCCTTTTATGTGGAAAAAATAAAAATATCATAAAAAAAACTAGCAAAATTGTTTATATGGAAGATTTTAATTCATAAAATACTAATAGTTAACTAAATGAATAGATAAAAATGTCATTAATTGTTTAAAACTATTTACAGTTCAATATTATGCACAATATATATAAAATAAAGCTAAATTTTTGTTGTTATATTGCTTAAAAAGTTCAAAGCTTATTACAATAATCAAATTATGCGATTTTAATATTATTGAATTTTTAAAGACAATGTCTGATTATAAAATAAATATTTTATTTTATCTGAAAATCTCTAATCAATAAACTTCGATGTTATTTATGATGACGATCAACACAATTCTGCGAATCAACTTTCAATAAAAAAGGCTCGTTTTGATTTATAATTAAAAATTCACTTTTATTTCCCCTCTTGTTGTTTTTGTTTATTTTATTTACTTTTTAAATCGGTTTTCTTACTTGCTAGAAATTTTTATTTATTTCAACCTAAAGACCAATGATATACAAAATTTTAACATTTGAACTTCAAAAAAATTGCAGGCATCAATATTTGATTGCAAATTTTAGGGCAAGCAGCAAAAAACTTTTCATGACATTATCAAATTATAGAAAGTCAATGAATTAAATGATGAATTAATTGAGAATTTAATTCTAATATACAATTCGCATTCATTTTTTCTGTCTCTACAGAGTACCCCATGTGCGCACCCTGTGATTGTACTGCAGGACGTGGCGTTCGCCGACCTGCACGCTCTCGTCGAGTTCATTTACCACGGCGAGGTCAACGTGCACCAGCGCAGCCTCACGTCCTTCCTGAAGACGGCCGAGGTGCTCAGGGTGAGCGGCCTCACGCAGCAGGCCGAGGAGCGCGACGAGCTGGGGTCGGCGGGGGCGGGCATCACCGCCCCCCGCAACCTGGCCTCCGCCTACCCTGAGAAGCTCGAGGACGCCCGATTCCCGTCGCCTATCACGGCCAGTCCCGTGGGCTCGGCCCTGGCGGCCAACGGCAACGGCGCGGCCGCCGCCCTCCTGAGGCGGCCGCCCGTCCGCAGGGACTCGGAGCAGGCAGGTCTCGGCGGCGAATATGATCTCTCCATGCTGAGCAAGAGGGCCAAGCTGAACAACGACGAGGTCACGCACAACAGCAACGTCGTGGCCGCCGCTGCGGCCTCCATGCTCCAGCAGGCCGCCGTCGTGGCCGCCGCTGCTGCAGCTAGTCAGGTATGTACAACGTCAATGACTTCCTTCTAATGAAAATAATTTCATTAGTAAAATTAATTTTTAGTTTCATATTTTTAATTAACGCTGCAATTCAATAAAGAAAACGATTAATCTCCATGAACACTATTTTTTTTTTTAAATAATTTTTAAAAAAAGTTTTAAATTGTAGTAAAGAAGGGTTGCAGAGAGGATTGAAACTATGAAGAATATTGTAATCTATTTTTTAATTTTAATTGCTGTCAAAATTATTTTTATTAATTCCTTTTCTTTGCGTGATTTCCTTAAGAAGATATAGTAATTATTTGTACGAATTTAAAGTTAGCAGTTTTTCAAGTTACTAAATTTTTTAAAACTGCATTCCAACTGCACGCGACAATTTTTACTTTTTTAAAATGCCTTTTTCATTTCCTAAGGACAATTTTCTCTGCCCTCATTATCTGCTTCTTTTCACATAAATTGTCAGAAAAAAATTGTGCACTCGAGGAAATAATTCATTTTTGTCGGGTCCCTTGACCATTCCCTTGTTTGCTATCTGCCTTTGGGTTATCAGCCGCACCATGAAATTTGCTGACCTCTTTTTATAAAATAAATTACACTTTACATGTTAAATACTTTTCTGCCCCTGAACTGAAAATTTTAACATAGGTGTTATTTTTGTTTTGTTGTAGCAAACAAGCCCAGAGGATTTTTCTCCCAAATCTCGGCGTGGTGGGGTCGAGATGCTTGAGAACAACCACCAACACAACCCCGATTTGGACAGAAAATCGCCCAAGGACGACTTATTATTGGCCAAGCAGGAGACTGGTGACCACTTGGGGCCCAACGTTGACGTAATTTTGACTTGCGCATTAATCTTCACATTTCTTAATGTTCCCTTGTGAAATTGCAGGTAGATAACGACGACTCTATGGAGGGCAAGGCGCCTTCCTCGATCGCCTCTGATCAGGCAGAAACGGACGGCAGCACACAAGGGGGACCACCAGGGCACTTCAACATGCAGGAAAAGTTGCACTCGTTATTTTCAGCCTCCAGCCCAGGACAACCGTTCAACTTCAACCTACCTGTTAGTAGACAAGCTCTATCTGAAGCTGCCAGCCTTTCGAGTAAGTGTTTGAAAAGAATTGTAAATGAAAATTAAATTTTGACTCTTCCTGCAGGTCTTGCCAACGCTGCGGGACTAAACCAGAGCTTACCAGAGCTTGGCCTATCACCAGGTAAGCAGAGCATTCTCTTATACGATATTTTATATTCTCCTCTCCCAAATTTTTTAAATTTTTATATCTATATTATTTTTAATTAATTTCACAACCACACCAAAAGCGACTCCAATTGGACAGTTTTCGGAAAATTTCCGTTGGAGTCTGCTGCTCAAAATTTTGTTGACAAGAAAAATGCATGAGATCCTTGTCAGTCATTCCGTTTTGACATGGCAGCAGATAGGCGTCAAAACAGCTCTTTATTTCATGTGTAAAAATAATTCTCATCACTTGAGAAGATCGTCTGTAGATGTTAGAGATCATGCATTTCTGTTCCAGTTTGTGTGTGCACTTTAAACCACGTACATGATTATGTTTTTGCTAAATATTGTTTCTTATTTTAAATTTTTCAAATTATTTTCTGCATTGCGTAGGAATTTTCTGGCATGATTTTTATGATTTTCTTTGTCACGTATGAGGCGAATTCATCTACTATTTTTAGTTCCATGAATCTATTTATATTTATAAATAATATATAGTTTTGCTTCTTGGATTTGTCAATACTATATATATCATTCCTAATGAACATCAGGAAAAATTCGGACAACTCGACTTGAAGAAAATTGGAGGAGAGAAAGCAAAAAACTGGCAATGATCAGACAAACAAAAAGAATCAGAAACAAAAATATCTATTATTTCACATAATATATATGGCACATATATTCAAATCCTCAAAAAGTGGTAGACGGCTATAGTTTAGGGACCATGCATTTTTATTTTCATTCATTTCTGTTACTTTGGCTTCCATTCTATTTATGATTTCCTGCTGCTAAACCTGAAAACGAACAAGAAAAAAACTTGATTGGTGGTCAACATCCACACGTTATCTAATTTTTTTCTCGCGCAAATAAAACCTCGCGGGTTTTTGTTCTCCACGATCATATCTCGCTCTTTAACATGGTCCCTAATTTGAGCCGTCTGTCATGCAGGTTTTGTGCTACCCATGAGAGGGCTTGGTTATCGATGCGAACCGTGCGGGAAGAACCTGACTTCGCCCCAGAGACTGCGGCGCCACATTCAGAATGTTCACGCGAAACCGATCAAGCCGCCGGTGTGCAACATTTGCAACAAGGTGTACAGCACCCTCAACAGCCTGCGAAACCACAAAAGTATTTACCACCGCGCCCTGCAGCGCCGCACCCTTTCGTCAGCCAACGAATTTGCCCCCGCACAGAGCCCCCAGTGGAAGAGGGAGGCCGCCGCCCCCGTGGTCGGCGCCACCGCCACGGCCGCCGACTTTTCCGCCTCTTAAGATATGCAATTTTTACCTTTAAGTCCATCTCTATGCTGCTCGATTAAGTTTTTCTTTGTCATCATTTGTAATCAAATTTTGATCTCGTATTCATGAAAATCAAAAAATGTGTTAGTCGAAACTATTTCATAAAGTTTAAAATGTATATCAGTCGATCGTATGGGCATTTACAGCATTTTGTTTCCTGTTTTCGTGTTAAAAGTAATAACGCGGTAGAGTGCTTGGATTTTTTTTTTTTATAAAAGCGGCAACCACCCTCCTTGTGTTCCTGTCCATTGATTCGCCTAGCTTTTGCTAATTTGAATAATTGAGAAAGTTGCCTAAAAAGTTTAGTATTTATTCCCGCGCTCTATGAAATTCAAAGCCCATTTAAAAATCGGTTACAGTAAAATTTGATTTAATCAATTTGGGGAGATTTAAACGAACGAATTCCCTATAATATCACCCACATAGAAACCACACACACATTGAAAACTGTGTAAAAAAATGATCAAGTGCCTTATACCTGATAGAGTGAAGCAAAACACTTAAAAATTGTACCAACCAGCAAAACATTATAATGACGCTCCTAGAGCCAAATGTCAAGTGTTTGTAAAGAATATAGATAATTAAAAAAAAATAATAATAACTGAAGAGCAGAACAGCATTCGAAGAAAAATATACTCAAGTTGTAGGAATGAGAGAAACGTGTAACAATAGCAAAAAAAAAATGTAAAACTTAGCAACTATTTTCAGTGTATAGAATGGCAAAAGCTCCAAAACAATAATTAATATTGTTATAAAACAAGCAGATAATCTATCTACTCTATTGTGAAACAGGAGAAAGTATTATTTCTAGAAAAAGTATATAACAGGAACAAAATATTACATTGCATTTCAGTCATTCCAGCGTGGTCTTTGCAGAGACACAAAATATACTCTCGAACTTCCACGCGGATTTTATTCCGTAAAAGAAAGAGACGCAAGATTGCGGTAAAGCCAGTCTTGGTATGAAATTCGTGATTAGATATTTGATGCAAAAATTGTGATAAAAATTTGTGAAAAATGATCAGTCAAAAGGCATATAAACCCAGCAGTGATTTGAAAAATGTCTATTAGAACCGTCGATGTGTTGTGTATAAAAGTGTCTAGCAGAGGAATACAATATGTTCAACTTAATCAAATACACACTGCATGTAATGCATAATTAGTTTATATGTAACTATTATTATTAAATAAGGAACAGACTACTTCAGAGTTTGGCTGAAAACTATATCGAAAGCAAGAGAGCGAAACGAGGGGATTAAAACTTTGATGATTATTAATTTTTGAGACTGCGAATTTTGATGATTATAGTCAAGAGAAATCAAGATTGCTATTTGGAGCTGTGTTTGCTAAATTGAAGAGAACGAACGACTCTTTTTATACTTTAAGATTTGAATCTGTTTTACGACTAATAACTCTCTTCTCTTCCAAGTCACTTGCCACGGCAGAGGCAAAACGCACGTTGAATCAAAAAAACAAAATGTACATACAGCTTTGACTCAGCCATGTTTCGTTCTGACCACACAGATTTAAAACAAACAAAAACATCTAATTCATCAGTCTGACTGAAAGTTTTGCAGATCTGAAAATTCGTGATTATCGCACCTGGACTTTTAATATATATGATTGAAATTTGCATTCAGATTTGCCGAAACGGAAAAAAATGAACAAAGAATGTTGTTGCAAAAAAATCAGAGACTGAATTGGCTAGTGATGTTGTATGACACTAAAAATGTTTAAGGGAAAGAAAAGAAGTCTTGCTGTATAATTGATAGGGTAGTAAAGTGGCGCTTTGAAAAGACACGCGAAAATAACGAACTTCCGTCGCGTGCTGATTATTTGTTTTGTTTATTGCGTATATCAACGCTATATTTCTTGTTAAATTATAAATAACAAATATGATTGAGTATCAAAAGCACTTTCTGTACTATTTACTTCCTGCAAACTCTGACTTCCTTTGTTTTTATTTTAAGGCAATCTCATTTATTACTCGACTTTGCTGAACAATGTCGCTTTCTAGCTTGTGTAGCATCAAAAATTAACATTTTAATTTACTGATCATGACTCTTTCAAATGGCAGTTTGTTATGTTTATATGCGATTTACAAATTTGAAACGAAATCGCATATTGGCTCTTATCACGAGGAGGAAAATGCAGACGAGCGCGTCTCTTTTTCCAGGGCAGTTTTTCATACGTTTGTTTTTGCTAATTTACTTTTTGTACTGCGCTGTCACACGAGAGCCCCGAGAGTTTTGTAGCGACAAGAATTTTGCTCGCAAGATGTGGAAAAGATTTTGTTGTGTTTAATGTGTACGACGAAATTGACAAAATAATTCGTTGCTCAATCGTCTGGATCGGAGCAATTAAAAGGAAAATGCAAAATTCATGCCTTTTTTCTTATTCAACTCCACGCACACCTAAACAATTTCTATATATAGAGCATGGATTTGGCCTCACGCAACTTTTAATTAATTTGTATAGTGCCTTTAAGCATGTACTTTGATCCAAGTTCAGGACTGCACGCACCTTTTTCATGCATTTCAATCCCCCCATTTTGCAATTCTTTTTTTAGTTTTGTGGATTTCTAGAGAGGAGACTATAAAAATTTCTAATAAAATTGCGCCGGCCGCTCCCGAATTTCGCTGATTTTTTTGCAAGGGAGACGGCGGGTGCCGAATCTTTTTTTTCGTTTTGATATATTCACGTTAGTTGCAATTTGACTTTTTGAACCATACAGAAAACAGCAACTCGCTTATTGCAGCAGACCCTTTTGTATTTTTGTTTCTTTGCGTTTTGCAGGTTCGTCTGCGAGCATGATCAAGAAACAGTTTTTCTGCCTACTTTGCAGTAAGGTGTTATGTTCGAAGGCTAGTCTCAAACGACATATCGCCGATAAGCACGAGGAGAAGCAAGAAGAGTTCAGATGTGTCATTTGCGAACGCACCTACTGCTCGAGAAATTCGTTAATGACACATATCTACACGTATCACAAAACGAGACCCGGAGAAATCAAAGCAGAGCCCATTTAACATGCACATTCGTACCTCTCCCGATTGTCACAATTGTTCGCTGCCACGTACTCCTGCGGTTAGTCTCTCAAAATTTTTGCCCTTTTTTTCTCTTTGTTACACTCTCTACATATATATCTCTGTTTTTTCCTCGAAAAGTCGACTCTCAACTCCTCTCTAATTTCCAAGCAATTTTATGTTGCATGATTATATTATGGTAGCTCAGTTATGGTTCTGTTCTCATCGTTCCAATTTTTCAGTTTTTTCGCGCATGTGCTGCATAATCATTTGATTATTCATTGTCTGCCCTTTGCTGTCTCAAAGTCCCCACACGTGAACTATGGGATTTTGCAAATTGTCCGAAACAAAATCATATAAAATGTAAAACAGTTCGTTTGGACTAAAAAATTTACCTTCGATCAGTTTATCATTGATATGATTGATAGAAAATAATTAATATCATAAATAATTTGACGCCTCTTTGAGGCAATTTTTTTTTTAAATAATTATTCATTTGTGGTACATTTTATTTTCTGTTCAGAACCAGAACAATTTCTATTGATTTCAAGTTGTGAGGTTGACTTTTCCAAATTTCACTTTTCTTTTTCAATCTCTGTGTATCTCTTATATTTCTGGCAGCTGAGTAATCATCGCTAATGAATCGATCTGGAATTTTGCAGGAGAGGTGATTTCTTATAAGGTGCCTCCCCCGACCAACAATATGAACGAGCCCCAAGAGTGCCCATACTGTCGACGCATGTTCAGTTGTTATTACTCGTTGAAGCGACACTTTCAAGACCGGCACGAAAAGTCCAACACTTTATACACGTGTGAGTTTTGCAGCCGCAGCTATCGTACAAAAAACAGCCTGACCACACACAAAAGCCTCCAGCACAGAAGTACGAATGTGATGCTTCGACGTCTGCTCAAGACGGGCATCAAAAGCCTGATGGAGCTCCCCACTCCGCACCACCAGCACCATCACCAGCAACTTCATCCATCGCACCAGACTTCTTCAACATCATCATCAACAGCATCATCTGCAGTCATTCCCAATTAGCAAAGTCTGAGAGTACAAATATCAAAGTTTGGCACAATTTTAATACCACAAACACACACACACACACACACACACACACACTCGTCGCTTTTTATTGCTCTATACTGAACTAAAACGTTGTTGAGAATCAAGTCAATTTTTGGCCAAAAATATATTTGCTGACAGACCACGGAAATATATTTTACATTTTACAGCCTAAAAAACGAGCCGTGAAGAAATTTGCCGGCTTGAAAAGAAGAAACTTGTTAATCGGTTTGTCCTTTTTTCTTGTTCATTCTGATTGAGAAGCAAAAACACTTTCGAGGAGAACACTGGAGGAAAGATTTAATATACGCTATTTGCAGTTTTTGGTATCTTGTCTGTGATGTTTCTGTAATATGTAAATTTTTATGTACACGGTACTTCCGAAATTTTCAAAATTTAGTGCTTCTAGCGAACAAAAGGCATCAATTGACACGAGAAAAATTTCGGCTCAATTCGATTGAGAAGTTGAACATTTAAAAGACTTGATTTTAATGGGTACATGCAACTCATGCACTGCCCTGCTGGTGACAAAAGTGGATAAACACGAGCGCGCAACATAATATTTGAACAATCTGCTGGGAAATGTTTTTGGGAAAGAGTCAAGAACACGTGTAAGTTGAATGGATTTTTAGTGGGAAACAAAAACTTCCAAATATCAATGCATGGCTCGCGCGTTGAAGGAGTTTTTTTTGACGATTAAAAGAGAAAACTTTTATCCTATTACTAAATTGTTTAAGCACTCGTAAGACTCATTCCAAAATTGATATCGCGAGGAGGGGACAAAACAAAAATTTTTAACAACACTCAAGTACAAAGTGTAAATGTTGGTGTATCATTCTAATTCTTATTTCGGCTCTATATATTGTACCAATCGCTAATTAATGACACTTTCTTGAGAGAAATGAAAATCTAGAGATGATTCAAATTGCTGTGTGTTTGTATATGGAAAAACAAAAACGGAGACTAAAGAAAATGAAATATTTTAAATGGCTCACTACCTTGATATAGGTGAAAATTTATTGAGAAAAAAAATGCTAGAGGTATTTTGAAGACATTAGGCTTCACATTTATCCATGTGATTATTGATAAATTTTGAGAAAAGAGATGAAATTTAAAATTTAAGACTTACATTCTCTAGATGCCAAATTTTAAGGATTCTTAAATCTCGAGGAGAATATCTATCGTGGCCAGAGGTAATTGATATAAAAATATCGCACATTTCTTGTTGACGTGTCAAATTTAATGTTCTAAAAATTCAAATTATTATACCCATAAAAGGGAAAATCTTCTCGTTCAGTCTCTTCAATTTTCAATGTGATCGTATCTACTCTTTGACGTGTTATCTAATTTAAAGCCTAAGTAAAAATTATTGTTTGGCTGTTGCATAAAAGAGGAATCTCTTCCATGCGTCATTTAACACAGAATTATTATATAAATTATTATGTTTGTGGCAAAACGAAAAAGTACGGAAAACGAATGAATGGGTGAACCTCCTCTAGCTTACGAGACTGGGACTAAAAAGCAGCTTGAAATTGTGTTGTTGCTTGCGTTGTTTCAATTTGACTGCTAATTTTGCTGTGTTTTCATAGTCACTTTTCTAGATTATTGATGTTTTTTGTGTTTTAATTATCACGCATCAAAATTACTTGTAAGAAATCGAAATTAGGAAGGAATAATCAAACAACTACTATTTAATTTATTTCTTATTTGAGAAGACTTAATTTTGTAACGTAAAAATATGTGGAATTTAATAATGTTTAATTGTGTTACGTGGCATTTTTGAATATTAATTATATACGCTTTGAGTTATGAGAGCAGGAGGCGTGTGTCATTGACAAGCAATTGGCCCAGCTCACTCTCAATTCTATTCAACATCTGATCTCAAACGCTTTTGATTTTGTTTGAATTTTAATTGTGCACCGGGCATTCCACGATTGCGCTATAGTTTGGAAAAAGCGTCCAGAAGCAACAACCTCCGAAACTCTTCAACTCAAACGTACACGATTTTAATTTTGCCTTTTTCTTCTAACTGCACTGGATAAACATGTTAATATGGGAAACGCTGAATTCCTTTGATAAAATGCATACCAAAGATTAGTTGAAATCATTCCCAATAAGTTAGAAGAAATTTGCTCGGAAATTGACTGAGGAATTATTCACTGTGTATTTTTAATTTAATTTTCCAGAGTGGGTGTAAGACTTAAAGTTAATTATTTTTCTCCTCAAACACGTATGTACAGCAGAGGACACGAAAATAATTTCATTTTTCCTTCCGACTCTCATTTTGTGAATCAATAGACACAAAAGTAACACATCTCGCCACACACAAAACGCAGCATCCCTGTGTGCATACATAAATAATATTGTTATGGGAACAGTTGCCAGGCCAGCAGCAATCTAAAAGGGTTGGCTCGTCCGGGCCCAAGGCTGAGAATTAAATCATCGGGAGGCAGGCTTCGGGTCCCGAGATGAGCCGCACCCGCGAACGCAAACTGGTCGAGTTATAATTCATAGTTTTTGTTAAAATAGAACTGTACAGATAAAAACAAAACAAAATGCAAAAACCAGGCGTCGATACGCGCCACAGCAAAACAGACGATAGTAATAATTTTAGACACAACATAAAATACAACGTGGTAATCAATAGTTTTTTGTGGTAGTTTTAACTGAGAGATAACGTTTAAGTTTGTCGAATTACTTGTTGCAATGATGGTTACAATTTTTTGTTGACTGCTACGCGATACACACAAACAATGCGATTTGTATGAACTATGAAGTATGTAATGAAATATTATTATTATATAATTATATATTCAAATAATAAGAGTTATTGTGTTACAACAATCCACACACCACACAGCTAATCTGTATAACCCGAACAGAGCTTGTCAGAAATTGAGACATATTGCACGGTACATATCAAAAAGAAATTTTAAAAGAAAAAATTTATTGAGAAAAAAAAACTTCAAACACCCACACGGATCAGCGGCTGGTGTAATCGAATTTTGTTGCTACTTTATGTGATTGGTTGAATAATTTTAATTGATTGTACAGAGGAAGGAATGAAACGACTTGTTGAACAAATCCAAGTGAGGAAGTGTTATATCCGTGTAAAGTGTAAGGTTTGCGAATAATTACGCATCAATTGTAATTGTAATTTGAGAGAAAGAGTGACGCCGGCTTTCGATTGCCTCGTTAAAATGTGTCTCCGCTGCTTGCTCTACGTGAATTTTCCATTATTTAACTGCTATCAGTGCAGATCAGCAAAATTTTCTTACAGAGACATGTATGAAAAATGTGTTTATCATAAGGACAATATGTTATGTATGCTGTACGCTATAAAATAGTAATTGTAACACGCGCCAATCATAATTTCCACACTCACATAGATGCCACACACATACACACACGCAGATATACTTCAATATCACGCAGACCCTTAATTAATATTTATAACTGTGTAATTACAAATGTAATGCCATCACGCATAAATATCACAGTTTGCATCTTGCAGTGGTCCAAATTGCATAATTATACTGAAAACACATTCAAAACAATACAAACATCGTGTATCTTCCATTTTGAACTTGTGATTTTAAAACAGAAAAAAAAAACGCAAAGCCACGCCACAAAACTTAAGCCTGAAACTTTCGACAAGTTAAAAACGCCATCTTTTTAGAAAAGAATAAAAAAATAAACAATTAACATCACCCTTACGCCATTTGCGAAAAGCCCAAAGTTGCTACGAGAAAATTGTCATCTTGACACTTTTCTTTATTACTTCACAATGATTCCAGAAGCCGAATCTTCTGAATTAAAAATAAAAATCTTAGTGTGCTTCACAAATGTAAAATCTTTTTGAGGAAATTTCCAATTAGGTGCATTCAAAAGTTCATTGACCTTTCGTCGGCTGGGTTTTGGAATTTTTAAATTTCTAAGGCTCCGGCACAAATATCGCTCGAAGTCATATCAGATTAAGTGAGTTGCTTTCTCGTACTCATCTTGGAAAATGTCTCTGGGATTTTTACCTGTTGTGTGTCGCAAAAATACTTCAGAAGCACATCATACTCCGAAAGGGAGGAAGTTATTTTTGTAGAGCCATCTTTGTACATAACGCGCAGACTTACATGGAAGAAATAATGGAAATTATAAATTGCCTTTTTTACACACGCGCTCTTCAACTGCAAAATTTTCAAACGCATTTTCGGGTCACAAATGACAATATTTCTGATGAAAGCAAAAAGTTCAAAAAGTTGTTGTTTGAACTATAAAGACAAAAAATGAATTAATGGTTCTGCATTTCCGACAAAAATAATAACCATCACTGTCAAAACGCGCTGTTTAGACGACTTTTAATCGATTACTTTGAAAAAGAAAATGTTCGCACTTTTTTCTGTCCGCATCAAATGCAAACATAAATTTTAACTTACAAAAGGGCTGGCTCAAAAATTATATATTTCTGGCATCAAAATGCTTAAGAAACTTTAACCACAAACTACTGCAGAATAACACTGTGAACACCAACAATTAACCAGATAGAGACTCAACCACTTACGCAAACAAACTCATTAGTTACAGATCCAGAGTTAATAACAAAAAAATATGCATACACTTGTTCAGCAAAAAAAGTATGTATAAAAAAAAACATAGGCAGAGAACCCCTAGATAATTGTACTATATAATCTCTCACAGACACACTTACACCGTACAAACCATTACCGGTAAACAATTCGCTTGAGTAAGAATAAATTTGAATTATAATGATGATTGTTTTCTTTCTGCTCCGAGAGAAAAATGAATTATCGTGATAATTTAATGCTTTAAACGCAAATAATTAGCAGACACATACACACAGACACACCACAATACCTCAAACCCGCGTTGCAATTACACAATTAATTGGAACTCAAACATGCATCTTAGTCTAATGCCAAGGGTTACCCAGCATCTTCTATAGCAATAGTGCTCTTGCCGACAACTGAACAAAATCGGATTTAATCTCAGCACACCCTTCTTGTAAAATCAATGTTAGCTGCCGTTTAAGTGCTACAAAAGTACAGTAGAAGAGATTATAATGATTATCAAAATACCAAGTATTTAAATGCGCAGGGTAACCTGATGTGATTTTTCAAATCCATAAAATGGGCACACAGGTGCTACAGAGAAAAGAAATAATAATATCAAATCGACCATGTGAAATATTTAATTCGCGTAAATTTAAACTTCTCTTCTCACATCTATCTCTCATTAGAAACTTTCAAGTTCTCATTGCAATTGTCACATCAGATTAAAATAGCAAATGAATAACCCACTTTTAGTTCATTACTCTATGAAAGCACTACAGACGTTACAAGTGCTGCTTTAATTTTTGGTGTGGTTTATGTAGATTATTTTTTGCCGTTTTCTTTCACACAACTGGACTTCGCAACCGAATTCATAACACAGATTTATAATGAAATGTTTGACCTAGGTTTTTTCTATTGATTGTACTTCATTATGATGAGAAAAATAAACAAATTGACGTGACGGGATTATGTTATTGAAACGACGTACAGGCATTATATGTACACCGTACTTCCATCTTGATAGATTACATGTTCTAGAAATAGATTCCTGTAAAATAATAATAAAAATATGTTCATATCAATCCCATTGGCTCATAATTTCTTATTAACATTTTACTAAAAAAAAGTACTTTCACACTTGTGCCACGCGTACTGTTTGGCAATCAAAATTCAATTTTTACTAATTGTTTGATTTATTTCACGATGACAGATTTTACTAAACATCAGCTTTCGAAATATTTATAAAAAGAAAATATTGATTATTTTCCAATTTTGATTTTCAATACATTCAAAAAGTGATTGAGATTCACAATAATTGTACGCACCGGTACGCACTACAAAAATAAAAATTTTCCAGTACTCACTGCTCACAGCAGGACAAATTGGCCACCACTTGCTTTCTTCGGCGTGTCTTCGATCACCATAATATCCGAGTCGGAGTCACTCTCCTGTTTGATAACCGTGCCCAATGACCTAAAGGGGAAAGGAACATGAGATTTAATCTTGATTTGAAACTAAAATTAATTCTTACGGGAAGCACTGCCTTCTGTGGCTGTTGAGAAGAGACTCACTGTCACACACTTTCAGGCAATTGCTGCACTGGTATATGACGTGAATGCGCTGGTGATTGTTCAGGCTGGAGTAGTTTTCAAACTTCTCTCCGCAGAATCGGCAGCCAAAATAGCCAACATCAGTTTCAGACTGGTTGGAGGTGGTCGGACCTGCTTCGTCGTGCGTTTTGACATGGTTAGCTAGATCTGTCGAACTTGGGAAAATCTTCTTGCAGGTGCGGCAGTAAATCCTGTAGATCAAAATAAAGTGGCATTAGTGATCAGGAAGCATATTTCAAAGTTATTCATTACTTGGCACTGGAGCAGTGCACCAGCAAACCATGCTCATTTTGGAATCGACGATCGCAGTGTGGACATTCAACCGTTGAAGAAATTTTTTTGCCCTCGGAACGTACTGTTGACGAATTGTGAGAGGAGCTGTCTTCATCAGATCGTTTTTGTTTGCTGTAATAAAAGAAAGAAAATTAATTAAAAAAACTTTCATTGTGCTTAGAGGGATATGGGTTAATTAAAATTAAACTCTGAGTTGCTATTTACATCTCGTTATCCATCAAAACAAAAATTACCAGTTATCTTTAAAAATATAGGATAGTCTGTAATAAAATATCATACTTAGGAGAGCCTTCGGAATCATCATTTGAAGGCAGTCGAGCGTCCACTCGTCTTTTCCTTCCTCGTTTCTTGGCAGTAGCAGTGGAAATAGGAACTTCAACTGACATTGGGCGTGGTGGCTCCTGGGCTGCTTTCTCAGCCTCATTGTGAGCAGTGGCCAAGTGGTTTTCCAGACCATCAGGACCTTTCTGCGGCATGTTGCATTTTGGGCACGCAAAAGCAACACAGGGGTGCTCGTCTTTGGCTTTGGAGCTCGTAAAGATTTGGTTGCAACCAAAGCACTTGTAGTGGATGGGCCCGATTTTAGTGTGCTTTCTAATGTGGATTTCCAGAGCGGGCTTGTTAGGAATGTAGGCACCACAAAACTGGCAAGTGTCTTCCATCGGGTGCTCCTCAAGCATGTGCATTTCATACTCCCCTGAATCGGGCAAGGTGCGCCGACAGAACTCGCAAAACACGCCAGCTTTCATTCCGTGAGCTCGGAGTTCCATGGGAGTGTTGAAAGAGGTATGGCAGTGGAAGCAGAACGTGTTCTGGTCAGGTCCTACTGAAGTCAGTTTTGACTCGTCACAGTTCGATGGGAATGCACCGACAGTACGCTCAAGAAGCTGTGCTCTGAAAAAGAATTTTATTAGCACTGGTTTTTTTACTTTATTTCTAATTATTCATACTTGGCAGGGTCTATGTTGTGAAAAAGGCGAATGTGCTTGTCCACAAAGTGCTGGCTTGAGTAGATTTTGGCACAAATGCTGCATGTGAATATTTCATCTGATTGATTTGTTGCAGGTTGAGGTGCTTCAGTTATCTCTTTGTCTGCTGGAGCCTCTTCACTCAACTCAGGCTCTTGGGTCATCTTGATTAGGTGCAATTTCCAAATGTGCATTTTTGTTTTGAATAAGGCATTAAACTTTTTGTCGCAGAAAGGGCATTGAAGACTGCCTTTGAAATGGTTGTCCATGACGTGATGGTACAAAAGGGATTGCGACCTGATCTTCTTTTTGCAGACCATGCACATGTCTCCCTTCACCATCAGACTGGGCTTCAAAGGCAAAGGCGCAGACTCACTCTCAGGGGCTTCCTCACTTTCTACACCTTTAGACCTTGTTCTCCTCCCCTTCAGGTTTTCAACGTCCTTTTTCTCAGCAGATTTCACTGAAGAGGCTTTTGAACCAACAGCAGTTGATTTCTTCTCGGGAGTCAATTTTACCGGCGAAGGCTTTTTGGCTTGAGCCGGGCTTCTCTTTTCAACACTAGCAAGCTTTTTGTTTTGAGCAGCAGATTTCTTTTCTTCAGCCAATTTAGCTGCAATTTTCTTCTCCTCGGCTAATTTTGCAGCATTTTTCTTTTCCTCGGCTAATTTAGCTGCAATTTTCTTTTCTTCGGCTAATTTTTCTGCAATTTTCTTTTCTTCGGCTAATTTTACAGCATTTTTCTTTTCTTCAGCTTCTTCCTGCTTTTTCGCATGCTCGGCTGCTTTTCTTTTCTCAGAAGCATTGAAAATTTTCACTGCATTTAGAGTTGTGTGGGTGGAGTAGTGTTCCAACATCTTGGTGCGAAGGGATATGAATTTTCCACAAAACGGACACAATTTCCTGTTCCCATGATTTTCAATGACATGTTTCTCATAAAGATTAGGCTTTTTGAATGCGTTGTTACAGCAGCGGCAGCCAAAAATTTTGCCTTTGATTGACTCCTTTGGTCTGTACTTGAGTTTGCTATGCAGTTTTAAGTGTTTAATGAGTAACACAGTGCTTGCCATTTTTTCCGAGCAAAACATGCATGTTGACGAGGTGCAATGCAAATACATCATGTGCTGCTCAAACTTGTCCTTGTCTTGAAAGCTCTTCAGGCACTTGACACAGAAGAGAACCTTGATGCAGTGATCCATTAAGGATTTTTGGTTGACAAATACATCCTTGCAATGGGAGCAAGGATGCTCCAATTTGTTGAGATCCACCTCCAGTTTTTTCATGGGCCTGCCTCTTTTAACAACCGAGTGTATGACCACCTGTTTTTTCTGCTTCAGTGTTTCTTCTGGATCCTCCAGCTCTTCCTTTATTTCCCTAAAACACAATTGTTTAAAACAAAAATTGCAAATTAATATAATGACAAAAACTCACGTTGCAGACATATTTGGTTGCAAGTCTTGACTGGGTGCTTCCTGCTTCACCTCATCAGCAGACGTCTTTGGGCAAAAGTGGTTGATTTTCTCGGATGCCTTGTGAAAGCGGACATCACACATTTTACATTGGTGATTGAGACTGGCTATGATGTCATGTGAAGTGGTGTAGTGGTGAGCGACCCAGAAGTAGGACTCCAACTTCATGTCACAAAAACGGCACCTCAGAAAGCTGCAAGAGTCAACTTTATCTCTTAGCTTTACAGAGTAGCAATGAATGGTCTCGTTATGCCTGTCAAACTCTTCAGTTGTCCTGAATATTCTCTTGCATGGTCTGCATTTATTGCTTTCGTCTGCTAGTTGCAGTTTCGGGACTCGTAGCCTGGGTGAGAGCTCGAGCTCCATCTTTGGTGAAGCTGTAGTTGCATTTTTGTGAAGATTCAGGTGTTCTTCCAACGTAGCTGCAGATTTTAGCTGACGCTGGCATATTGTGCATGGGAATGACTTAACCTCATGAATAGGAATGTGATTGTTCAGAATTTTTTCACTTTTGAATCCCTCATTACAGGTAGGACAGAAGATCTTTTGTAGTTTGTCCTGAAAAAATATTGTTATGAAAATGAAACAAATAGTATCAAAATAGATGTACCTCTCCTTGATTAGAATTGTCAGTGTCTGTTTCAATTTCATCTTCTTGGCAAACGTGACTTTCAAAGAGACCACGTGAAAAAAGTATTCTTCGACAAGTTCCACAATACAGCTCGTGGCGGTGTATGTTTGTGTGGTGCAGCAAATGCCGCTCCATTGCATTCTTCGAAGAGAAGAATTTGAGACAGAATGGACACTGATGAATAGACAAATGGTGTCTTATCATGTGGCTTTCAAAACTGGATCTTGTCGCAAATTCCACTTTGCAGAATGAACAGAACTTCTCTTTGGCAATCTTTATGGCTTCTCCGACAAGAGTGTTAAAGTGAACGTCTAATTCTTCTTCGCAGTTGAATTCCATGCCACATATCAGACATGCCAGGAGTTGGTCCGATGATTCAGATTCCGTAATTTCAAGCATGGACGCACCATCAACGACACAGCGGTGTATGTGATAGTCATCTTCAGTCTCAAACAACTGCCTGCACTTTCCACAAAGAAATGATAAAATCAGCGACTCAGAGTGATCCTTTTTCAAATGACCAAAGAGCTGCGTGTATGATTCATTTTCAGATTTGCAGGTAGGGCAGTTATAAGTTTCCGAGTGTTGGTAAAGCATGTGAAATTCGTGGGCAAGGTTGCTGCTGAAGCAAATCTTGCATGGAGCGCAAAAAATTTTAGCTGGTGGGCTGCTTCCTGAGCAGTTGTGGCTTTCTAGATTTTCTCTAAGGCTAAAGCACAGGCAACAGAGAGGGCAGATAAACGGTGTAATATTCAGGCTGGTGTGGACTTTGCAATGCTTGACTAACTCTTCAGCTGCGTTGAAGTCCTCTTCGCAGAATTGGCATCGTTTTTCAGAGCTATGGCACTCAACCATGTGAATTTCAAACTCTTGTGTAGAGCCCAGCTAGAATTCAAATATAAACAGTTACATTAATCGCTAATTTTAAAATTTTAGTATCATTTTACCTGTGTTAGACAGTGCATGCAAAAGTTTGATATGTGTAAATGTTCATTGAGTTTGCTTCGACAGTCACTGGAATGGGTGCAATGAGGGCACTTTAAAATCTTCTGGCTTTCTTCAACATTACTTCTGGAAGATTGAATATTGAAAGAAAGTTCTATAATCTGTTATTCAAATCTTACATATACAGTCTAGATGCACTTTCATTCTCGTCTGAGACCTTGTTTTCGGCATCAACTTCATCCTCATCAGAAGCAGACATTGTCTCACTGTTTTCCTCAAAGCTGAAGTGTCTACTCAAATGGAGATCCAATTTGTTTAGGGAAAGAAATCTTTTGTCACACACAGTGCACATAAAAATTCTGAAAAAAATTTCAGGGTACGTTTTTCAAATGTTAATCTTTAAGACTTTGTAAAACTTACTTATGCTCTTTCAAGATTGATTTTTGCAGCGTTTCTCTCTTGTGTTGCGTCTCAAGATGGTCTGACAGCTTTTCAGGAGTGGGGTACATGATGTTGCAATATTTGCAGATGCTTTCATAGGAACATTTGTGGCTAACTCGACCCTCCAGAGTTTTAAAGGCCTTTTTGCAGCCAACGCACACACTTGGCCTTATTTTCAAGTCTGTGTGCGTTGAAAGGTGAGTTTCTAGCTGCTGCACACTGGCCACTTGTTGTGCACAAAAGGGACAGCTCTTCATATCCTTCAAATGGTTCTCCAGGGTGTGGACCTCATAAGTGGTGCCCACCGATTGTTGACAGAAGACGCAGAAGTTGTCGACACATTTGTGAGGATATCTGATATTTGGCATTTTAAATTGGCAACCAGTGCATCGAGACTGCAAACAAAATTCAAACTAATTATTAGCAAAATGAACATTACAAAAATACCATCTGATATTTAAGATGCAGCTTATTTTCTGGCGACGATCTTTCTGCTTTAAAATAGTGCACCTCTGTTCCATTTTGCACTTTCAAAAACTTGTTTCGGTTCCTCAGAAGGGAATCTGTTTTGATGACGGTTGCTTCCTGTTCGTGTTTCTCAAATCCAACGAAATCCTCTTCTGAAGACGAGAGGGCTGGTTGAGGGAGAGATCTCTCTTCAAGAGGACTGCTTGTGTCCTGCGGAGTTAGTGGTTCTGCGCCATCCTCATCTTCAGATATTTCTGGTATGTTGATATCAACGGAGTCTGTTTCGTCTTGTTCACGGGAGTAAACATACTTAGGCTTTATTATGCCCAATAGAGGTGAAGAACTATCTGACCCTTCTCCTCTAATTGAATCTACAGATAAACATTTAATGCAATCATTGTTTAATGAACACATATTTTTTTACCATCTTCCTTAAGTTTGGCAGTTTCTTTGCCACTTGCCTCCATAAAGTCAGACCCAGATATTGTTTGTGTTTCGATTATCTTGCAAACTGCTTATACAGAATGAAACGAAAAATTATTTAAAATCTTTATGTTTCAATTTAAAATTACCATCGTCTGTGGTTGAGCTGTTGTCGGAACCGTCTGACCAGTGATTGATTTTATCAAGAACATCTTTCAAGCAACTCACCACTTCTACAAAAATTTAAATTTATCAATAAATTGAATTCAAAATAATTAACAATAAATGTACCTCGTTCTATTTCCACACCTTCTCCAATATTGTCAATACTTTCATCTACTTCCATCTTGTCATTATTTTCATCTACTTCCAAATCATCATTATTTTCAAAAATGGGGTTGGCCAAAAATTTTTCCCCATCAGCCGCCTCGTGGTAGGAGTCTGATCCATTGTCATCAGCTGTGGCAAGGTAAAATTTTAAAAGACAAATTTTCAATGAATTAAAGGCTTACCATTATCTGAGTTTAAATCTTTGAGCTCCGCCACCAACGCCTCCTTTACAATCTCTATGCCTCCTTCTTCATGGCACTTCTCATCCGAGTCAATTTTATCGGAAGCGTCTTGTATTTTGGGCATGTCCTCTTTCACATCTGAAAGCTCAGCTTCTGATATAGTATCTTTCTTTTGAGGAGAATTTAAATCGAGCTCGTCCTCAACCTTCTTCTTGGCGTCAACAGCAATGGTAACTGCGCCCTCCTGCTCAATGGCATGATCATTTATTTCTTCAGGGCACTTCTCCTTGTCAGTCTTAGCGTTTTCTTCAACATCCATGTTGCAATCTTGTATCTCAGACTTGTCCTCTATTTCTTTATTTCTCTCCGTGGCCTCAAGTGAAGACTGATCTTTTCTTGTGTTTTCTTCTGCAAATTTGTCATGCAACTCTGACCAGTCCTCTTTTTTAGATTCTTCTGAAACTTTAGCTGCAAATGTGTTTTCTTTATCTTGTAACTCTGACCGGTACTCTTTTTTCTCGGTTTCCTCTAAAACCTCTGCTGCAAGAGGAACTTCACCCATGTTTTCTTGGTCAACTATATCTTTTGACTCCGACTGGTTCTCCTCTTTCTCTGTGACGTCAGTTGTTGGAGAATGTTTTCCCTCATGGCTATTTTCATCTTGGATGCATTTTCCACTAACATCATTTTGTGTGCCATTAATAAACTCTCTTTCTATCCCTTCCTCTGCTTCGGCCAAAGTTTTATCCACTTTTCCAGGCGTATTCCACCCTTCGAGGCACTCCCCGTCTTTAATATTTTCAACAACGGCATCATTTTGAATCTCCTTCATACAATCCATATTATCTTCTTTCATCGACTCTTTAGTCGCCTCACATGTTGATGAAGTTATGTCTTCATTTGTGGGTGCATGAGTTACTTCAATAGGGTCTGCATTACTTTCTTGAAGAGCAACTTTTTCTTCATCAACATCCATTTGAATTTCTGACACATTATCTTCTTTCTCTGAGTCCTCGGTGGCATCAAATGCTGATGAATTTTTGTCCTCTTTAGTTGTGGCACCTCCGTGAATAACTTCAGTACATTTTTGGTCTGCATCAGCGTCTTGAGCATTGATTTCTTCCTCATCAACCTCATGAATCTCTGACTCATTAACTTCTCTCTTTGAGTCTTCAGTGGCCTCACATGTTGATGAAGTTATGTCTTCATTTGTGAGTACACGAGTCACCTCAATAGGGTCTGTATTATTTTCTTCATGACAAACTTTTTCTTCGTCAACATCCATTTGAATCTCCAACACATTATCTTCTTTCTTTGAGTCCTCGGTGGCATCAAATGCTGATGAATTTTTGTACTCTTTAGTTGTGGCATGTCCGTGAATAACTTCAATACATTTTTGGTCTGCATCAGCGTCTTGAACATTGATTTCTTCCTCATCAACCTCTTGAATCTCTGACTCATTATCTTCTCTCTTCAAGTCTTCAGTGGCCTCACATGTTGGTAAAGTTACGTCCTCCTTTGTGGGTGCATGAATCACATCAATAGGTTCTGTATTATTTTCTTCAGGAGAAACTTTTTCTTCGTCAACATCCATTTGAATCTCCGACACGTTATCCTCTTTCTTTGAGTCTTTGGTGGCATGAAATGTTGATAAATGTTTTTCCTCTTTAATTGTAGCATGTTTGTGAATAGCTTTAAAACTTTTTTGGTCTGCATCAGTGTCTTCTACAGCAACCTCTTGAATCTCCGACTCATTATCTTCTCTCTTTGAGTCTTCAGTGGCCTCACATGTTGATGAATTTATGTCTTCATTTGTGGGTACATGAGTCACCTCAATGGGGTCTGCATTATTTTCTTCAGGAGCCACTTTTTCTTCATCAACATCTATTGGTATCTCCGACACAATATCATCTCTCTTTGATTCCTCTGTGGTTTCAAATGCCTTTGAATTTTTGTCCTCTTTACTTGTGGCATCTCCGTGATTAGCTTCAATGCATTTTAGGTCTTCAACGGGAATCTTCCCTTCATCATCCTTTTGAATCATTGACACATTTTCTTCCTTTGGGATCTTGGTGTCTTCAAATGTTGATGAATTTTTGTCCTCGTTGCTGGGAGCATGTTCATGAAGCACTTGAACACACTTTTCGACTAAATCAGTGTCTTCGACAACAATTTCTTCTTTGAAGCCTGAAGGTTTGTCTTCAACAAACTCTTGACCATTGAACACAACATCCTCTTTTTCAATTCCCTCTGTTTTTGGCTTGATTTGCTCCTCAGCAGGATCCTCATTGTCAGATATATCAACACAATCTTCCCACTTATCTTCGTCTTTGGACGATTCTAGTATTTTAGTTTCAACCTCAGGAATGATTTCTTCAACAGAACTATCGGAGAAATAGTCTTCTTTCTTCTCTACCTCTCCATCGTCATAGTTAATTCTTTCAAGCTTCACCTCATTGGAGATTAATGTCGACTCATCAGGAATCAAGTCTATCACTTCAACCTTGCTTATTTCTTGGCAGTTTTCTGGCTTGTTCTCAGATTGCGCCTCGATCACCTCTTCCTTAAAAACTTCATCTACAGTCATGCTATATCTGACAACTTCAACTTCTGAGGATGAAGCCAATTCATCTCCTGTCAGGTCGATCTCCTCAGCAGCTGATTTCTTAGTATGTCTAAGGGGATCAATGTTGTCAAGGGCATCTTCCTTCCCAGTGTCATCATTGTCATTCAGTGTGACAACCTCATCCTCCTTCAAAACCTGAATCTCTTTGCAGGAGCCATTTATGGCAATCTCTTCAGATTTTTCCTTCTCTTCAGTATTGGCAAGCAATTCTGAAATGATTGATATTGTAACGTGCATTAAATTTAAATCAAACCTATGTTTGTACCTTCAATACAATCCTCGGATAAATCATCAACATTGACATCGTCGACATCAACATGGGCTTGGTCACTACTGAAAATTTGTTTTTCCAGCTCCTCATCCGTGTCCATGATTTCTGGAATTAAATAAAAATAAATTAATATAATTATGTACATACACCTTGACCAAAAGAAATTTAATAACCAAAAAAAAAACCCATGAAACCAAAATTTTTAAGTGCGATTTTCTATGGTTTGATGATTTATGTATGATTAAAATTTTGAGAATCATCCTCAACAATATAGAAGTGCAGGTGTGGTGCAAAAGAACAAAAATGACTTATTAAACGTCACGGATAAAAAAATTAAGGGTTGTAGGCCCAAAAAGGGAACGAATGATGAAACGTGCAAATAATACTGAGAACATTTAGCGGTAAAAGGACACTATTTGTCTAACAAAAAACTTTCAAACAATGCACCACTATGTCGGGCAATAGATTTACTGGTGTAAGCGTTGTTGACATTGATAATTACCAGTCTTAGAGGCAGAAAAACTCTTCAAAACAATGCACGAGCCATTCCTAAGACATGATCACCATTATCAAACTTTGAACCAGCATGCCATCGTTTTCTATTGGCTGCTGCGGCGGCATGCCGGTCTTCAGCAGACTTGCTTTTGTGAATTTGTAAAGCTAAACAAGCGGCCAAGGTCAAAAATGGGTGTTGCCGCTAATATAACGTCGATTTCCCCTCCGTTGCTTTTACATTTTCTTTGCCCCTTTGACCTCCTTGGCGATGTGAAAAAAAAAACAAAGAGGGAGCTCTTGCCAGCTGAGTGGCCGACGTCCCGAAAATAAATTTGGATTTTTGAATTTTCGTCAAAATTTACGAATAATTAGCAAGCGAAGACCGAATCTCACAATAATGGCACTCGCTCTTGTCCTAAGAGGATTCCCTCGCACTCTGAACGGTACGCTAATAGATCATTCATCATAAATTGTGTAGCATTTGCATTTTGTTTAAAAAAATAATTGAATTTTTTTTATTAAAAATTTAAAATGAAATATTAACGCGTCCAATTTTCATTGAAATCACGGGCGAAATTTTGCAAATTTTTCGTAAATACTTTCTTCTTTCGCATTAAATTTTAAATTGCAATAAAAATCCCCTTTTTTGCAGGCACCATCCGAACGAGCCATGTTTGGTCAAAGGGCCAGTTGAGCAGCAGTCTTTTCAAACAGTATCCTGCTGCGGGATTTCTAGCCAAGGACAAGGGTGCAATTGTCCCTGTCATACCTCGGAGAGAAATGTCTGCAGGTGGGGACCACGTAGCGCTGTGGACAGCAGAACGTGTCCTTAGCGTTGGCCTCTTGGGCATCATCCCAGCTGCCTTCATTGTCCCCAGCGCCACTATGGACTACCTACTAGCTGTCTCCCTTGTCATGCACTCACACTGGTAAATGTTCGATATAGTATTTAATTTAAAATCTTGTTTATTTGAAGAAAAAAAAAATTGATCGTATATCTTAGAACTGTGTGTAACTATTTTAATTTTTCAGGGGCATTGAAGCTTCAGTCATTGATTACATTAGGCCAAATATTTTCGGACCTGTCATCCCGAAGGTCGCTATTGCAGCTCTGTACGGAGTGTCCATTGCAGCCCTTGGCGGTCTGATCTACTTCACATATGGCGATGTCGGCCTCGTCAATGCAGTGAAAATGTTCTGGAAATTGTAAAATTTGAATTTGTCGTTTCATAGAGACTGCAATTGCAAACGCTAGGTGGTCGTTAGGCAAAATATTTATTTCTCTACTGATGCCTCCTTTTGCCACATTGATTGAACAAACACCAGAAACTGTAAATAATTAAAATCCAAAGGTGGCAGTATTACATAAATTGCTGTAATTGGGTTGTATGTGAGAAATTTCATTCTTTTCTTACAATAAATAATTCATTTCGTCTGATTACTTTGATGTGTTATTAATATTCATTGAGGTAACTGAAATCACTGGTAATTGCACTAGTTGTAAATTTATAATTTATAAAGGGGTTTACAGGGGGAAATAAATTCGATTGATTTGTTTTTAAATAATTCTCAATATATTAAGTATTTCAATTCAAGAACAGTAAATTTGTTTGCAAAATTAAATAACTAATAGAAATGTAAAATTGTGATATTATTTATGTTTTTCCTTATGTCCCTTCTATTTTATATGGTTAACACTAATTATTATTCTGTGGAAGACTATAATATAGTGTAATAATTATCATACATACTGCTTTTTTGTTATTAAAATTACAAAAGTTTCAAAGAGACCATGAAGCTATATTGTCAATATACCACATTTGCATTTACAAAGCTGAAAAACATAAATAGTAGTTCCACTGCTTTTTCAGATTGCTACATGTTCTGCCCCATTTTTAATTTATCTTTACAACCTATCGCTTCAAGAATAATGTTCTTTTGTCGCTTTTGTTAATACAAAAGCTGCCTTTAAAAAGTCTGTCTGAAAAACTTGCACCAAAATAAAGGAAAATGCAAAGTAAATATTTAACAGGCAGGGGTCATACCCTTGAACTAGCGTATTATAATGGATCTGGCACGCCTGGTTGTAGAAACTGATATTTAAATTTTTTTGTTCACAAGCTGAATGTTTGGTGCCCATAATCTTATTACATAGAATATTTAACGAAGATTTAACTGCTCTTTCTCGTGTGTAAATAATTTATTTTTGTAAATAGCCCGCAATATTTTTACTTACTATAAATGATTAAATTTGATATCTATATTATTGATATTGATTATTACTCTAACAAGTAAATGAGTTTCAAACTTATATCACTTTGCTTGAATTAAAAATATGGTCACATAAAATTCTACAAAGTGCGGATGAGGGAAAATTCCTAACAAGTAATATGAGCAAAAGCAGTACGGAGAAGGCGACTTATTATTGTCAGTATGAATAATCATCAGCGAGCATTTTGTAAATGAAATTTCCTTCACTGAAAGACATCAAATATTACTAATCTCACAAGCGCGTCATAATATTACACTAATAGCTCTACTTGAATAATTCTTACTTCCTGCAGTGTTAAAATTCTTACATAGATAATCTACTTTCAACTTTCAATTGTAAGTTTGCTACCTAGAAAGAAAATCTAATATTTGGTCGGGAGGTATATAGCTCTGTATTTGGTATAAAAATAAAACAACTCAACAAAAGTCTCATAAAAATCAACAAATATAATAATTGCATGCTTGAAATATTATAGCCAAGAGTAATTATTTCTGCAGAAATTTTATCATAGATATTCCTGGTTCTCATGATAATACTGCAATTTTTTCTGATATGAAAAATTTCCATTATTGATTTTGAATGGTGTTACCAAAATTGACTTTCATTTTTTACCGAAACTGTATAAAAGCTTATTCATCAATAATTCTCTCTGCCCTTTTTTACTGCTTAAAAAATTTTGATGTTTTAATTCCATTTTGATATACTTTCATCAAGCTAGTTTAAAAATGATGCGACAGATCTAAATAATAAACCTGCCTAAAAGTTCATTTTTAAGTATATTAAATTTTGAAAATATAGAAAAAAAGTAGGTTTTTGCGTACAATCTGTAAGTAAAGTACCGCTGTAATATAAATGGCCCTAAGCGGGACAGATTGAAGGAGGCTCTTCAATTTCTGCCACAAGAACATCTTCGTGCTCGCCTGCTTCCATGTTTTTAGCTTCCTGTCATCTAATATTGTTTTTGTCAAAGAAGACGCGAAGTGCTTCCCATTGTTTGCTGCGGAGCAAAATGTGCGGTCGTTTCTCAGTCATAAAACTCACTGCCTTTTCCGCACTCCAGCCATGCTTCTACAAAACAAAACAATTGAGCTTTTGCAAGAACAAAAGTAAAAATAAAATTACCTGCATAAGGTAACATCCGACCAAAGTTGCACTTCTTGTACGGCCTGCTTTGCAATGGACGTATACTGAGCCGCCTGTGTTTTGGAACTTGTTTATGAACAGAACACCTTGCTGCAACTTCTCTTGGCAAGGCGTCTCAAAAATATCAGTTGTGCTGAGCTGGAGAAACTCGACTCCGTGATTCTTCCAGGTCTGTAAAATTTATCAAATTTATTATACAATTTATTTTTAGATATTTTACTTCTAATATTCTAATATTAAAATCAATTATTATTAAATAATTTTATTGATGGAAAATTTTGAAAATTAGAAAAAAAGTTTAATTGTTTTTACGTCTCCGTTGTTGGAAAAAAGCCACAGCTCATAATCTTCATTCATAGACACAACCCCTTTGACGTTTTCCTCCTTTATCAGCTAAAAAAAGTAAATTAAATCATTAATGAAACATTATTTCAAAAACTAATATTTAATTTACATGTTCTGTCATATTTTGAAAGGGCAGGGCCCCCAAGACCACTGTTTCGTCAATGCGGTCGTACCACCGTCGGGCTGATACTTTTTCCATGACCACATTGTACAGCAGTGTAGGGTAGAACGAGAGCCGGGCAAACATTATTTTGAAGTCCAGGCCTGTAAATGAGATATAATTAAAACAATTTTTTAAATTATCTTGACAAATTTCAATATGTATAAATAAATTTTGGCATATTTTCTCTTCAAATTAATTGAAATATGAAATCATATAAGACAGGTGGAATTTTACATAAAAGTAGGGCACGACTGAACTTTCAATTCACATGTTTGTGCCGAATTAGATGTCATAAATTTTGATATTGCAGAGACTTCACACAGTTGTAAATTTTTATACCTGCGGAAAGTTGAGAACCTCTAGTGGTTCAGTGCACGGGAAAGGATGAACTGACGCAAATTCACGTCCCACGTTTGTGCATTCAGATGCAGAAAAGGCAATCCATGACCTACACCTGCAGATGACCCGGAAAGTGAAGAAGAAATAGTGGAAGTGGAACTGGAAGAAAAGAGAAACTCTCGCATTGGAGAACGGAGAACAAGAAGGTAAATGAATCGAATTTTCCCCCTCCGTGCAAAATAATGACCTCCTCCCTCCTTCGCCCCCTTCCCTAAAGTTGGCTCCAACCAGCGGCATCCATTCAAAATATTCTTGTACTATTCAGCACATTTTGGTAGTGGGGGAGCAGTGGTTTTATGCAAAGGGTTGAGGAGAAGTTCCCCCACTCTTTGCTTTTGGCAAACACAACAACAAAGCAGCTTCCTTTTGTCATCGTCACGGAAACTAAACCCTTTCACGTCCAGCACGTCCACGCCGGTTCCTCCCATCGTTGTCAACAGATTTCAATTTTTTCCACGACGATTTATCTTCTATTTCGTCAGCGGATTGAATTAAAATCTGATAGCCAATTCAGCTAAAATTACTGCTGCATCGTGAATCCGGCCCCATTCGCTCAGTGATCACATTCCCCTCTGCTTGTGACCCCTTTAGGAGCCACGTGAACACTGCAGAACTATGGTCCTCGACTTGGATCTTTTCCGCACGGAAAAGGGTGGAAACCCTGAGAAGGTTCGAGCCAACCAAGCCCAGCGTTTCAAAAATGTAGCCCTCGTGGATACTGTCCTTGAGATGGACGCAAAGTGGAGACAGCGTAAGTTTTTTGTTAACATTTTGCTAAACTTAAGTTGTCCATATAAAATTTAAAAATTATTCTCATGCATTAATTGTCATTTTAATTGTTTATACTCATTTATTAAATTTTTATAGTTCGTCACAAAGCTGACACCTGGAATAAGCTGAAAAACGTGTGCAGCAAGGAGATTGGCGAAAAAATGAAGGTTTGTTTACTTTTTCCATTTTTTATATCATGGTGATGGAACTAATAATGTCATCTTATTGCTGCTTTTGTCCTTACAGAAAAATAGAAAATCAAACACAGACGAGAAAAAGGCTGCTCCAGAAAAAGATCTGGTCGCCGAGTTTAAAAAATCAGACCTCTCTAATTTAGACAGTCATTTATCGCAAAACAGTTACATTCAATTTCATCAGCCAACTTTGGCTGATTACGATCTATTCAAACATGTCAAAACTTTATCGTGCAAAGAATGGCCTAATATTTCAAGGTGGATGAATCATATTTCGTCCTTTGGTGACGATGCCAAGAACTTTCCTCAGGTTGGCTCTCAGTCAAACAATTAATCTTGATTTTATTTTTGCTGCATGCATGAGCCCTAATAATTTTCCAAATGTTTAATTTTTTTCTAATCTGCATGAATATTTTAATATTGCTAGTTCAAGGATATTTAAATTTCTTTGTTGATAAATTTTTTGATTGGTACTCTAATACTAATTTTTAACTATTTCTATTTTAGAAAAAAGAGGCCGCAGGAACTGACGATACTTTGCCCGATGGACTGGAAAGCAAACTGCTAGACCTTACATCTGACCAAGTCAAAGCCCTCACTGTGACTCAGATTAAAAGAGTTCGTGTTTTGATTGACGAGGGAATTGTCACAAACGAGCAAGATTTGATCGAAACTGAAAAGACCCGAAATAATGCTCTGAGAGAAATTGGAAACATTACTCATCCAACTGTACCTATCAGCAATAATGAGGTACCAATTTCTTGGTTATTATTTACAAGTAAATTTGAAAAATTTAAACCTTTATTTTCAGGATGAGAATAAAATTGAACGTACTTTCGGTGATTGCGAAGTGAGAAAGAAATACTCTCATGTTGATCTGATTCACATGATTGATGGTATGGATGGCGAAAGAGGAGCTGTCGTTGCTGGTGGTCGTGGTTATTATCTTTGTGTAAGTTTACTTAAAAAGAAAATTGTAAAGAAATGGTCATTGAAATTTTAAATGCAGGGCCCAGCAGTCTTCCTGGAGCAAGCGCTGATACAACTTTCCCTTCGAAAGCTCAACGAGAAAGGTTACACTCCTCTCTGTACACCATTTTTCATGAGGAAGGAGGTGATGCAGGAGGTTGCACAGCTTTCTCAGTTTGATGATGAATTGTACAAGGTACAGCATAATTCTTATGGTACTAGCACTAATCTTAACTCAAATCATGCACTGTTGTTAATTTTATTTTACAGACATGAAGTAAATTCCGAGCTATTTCTTTTATTGGGAGAACGTCTTTGATAACTTATATTTATTTTTTGTTTTCAGGTAATTGGAAAAGGAAGCGAGAAAGCCGGAGACAAAGATCTGGAGGAGAAATACCTGATTGCAACCTCTGAGCAGCCAATCGCAGCCTTCCATAGAGGAGAATGGATGGCTGAAGCGTCTCTGCCCATCAGGTATGCTGGGTTGTCCACATGCTTCAGACAGGAAGTCGGATCGCACGGCCGAGACACCAGAGGAATTTTCCGTGTCCATCAATTCCAAAAGGTTATTTGAAAAAATTTATTTCGGAAATAATATTTTCTTTTGGTGCTAGGTCGAGCAATTCTGCATCACCTCTCCGCATGACAACAAATCGTGGGAGATGATGGATGAAATGATTGGAAATGCAGAGGACTTTTGCCAGGCCCTTGGCATTCCATACCAAATCGTGAACATTGTTTCCGGAGCCTTGAACCACGCAGCCTCCAAAAAGTTGGATCTTGAGGCATGGTTCCCAGGTTCTGGTGCCTTCCGTGAGCTGGTCTCGTGCAGCAACTGCCTCGATTACCAGTCCAGGCGACTGTTGATTCGCTACGGCCAAACAAAGAAGATGAACGCAACTGTAATAATTGAACATTTTCAAGCAAAAGTAAAATTATTTAATAAAACTATATTTTTTACAGACTGAGTATGTTCACATGCTTAATGCCACAATGTGCGCTACAACCAGAGTGATTTGCGCCATCCTTGAGAATTACCAGACCGAGACTGGCATCAAAGTGCCTGAAGCTTTGAAACCCTACATGCCAGCAGGTTAGGACAGAATTAATTTGTCTGAAAATTTGAATTTAATAATACATTGAAAAAAATTACAGCCTATCAGGAGGAAATCCCCTTTGTGAAAACCGCTCCCATTGAAGAAATCGACACCAAGAAGGGCAAGAAGCAGGCAGGGAAACAAAAACCTGCCGGGGAAGAATAATTTTTTCTTCTTTTAAAAGCTATTTATTTTGATTAATTTTGTTACCCATTTCTCTTCTATGAAATAAACGGATTCAAACAATCAATTTCAACACAAACTGATTTAATTCATTTTCTATTCTACAATTTAAATTACATATTATCTTTATAATGATCCGCAACACAATAATAACCTTGAATATTTAATAGTCTGCAAAATTTAGTACCAGTCTGTGCCAAGTCGCCAATTGTGTTCTCGCTTGATAATTTATCTTGCAAAATACAGACAGGATGACATAGAATTATTGATTCTTGAAGTGAAACACATCACCTTTTGTGATTCCTGCCGAGGTTATTGAACTCTGAAAGCGACGACTCGTCAAAAAAATAGGGTATTCTTTGCTTTGGTCGAATAATTTAAAAAGTGAATTTATTTTTGTTTGGGTGATTTGGGTCTATTGGTCACTTCCGCATATGTTTAGGGTCGATCGCGTGCTGATGAAATCAAAGGCAAGCCCCTGGTAATCAAAGGGACGTATTTATGATGACGCATTTAAATTAGTAATGGAGATCAAAGTATACACAGGTGTTTGAATGCAATGGCAGCTACCCGCAAAGGGTGGGGGTAACTTTTTCCAAAAAAACGCAATGTTGTATCATGTCTGCTATAATGCGTATCGACCACCCTTTCAACCCCAGCAGACAATCAAGTCCTATCCTATCTAGCAAGTGAGCCAGTAGTGACAATGACTCTTGTTGGCACTGACGCAATTTTCAGCGCGCCGTGAAGTTTAACCAAATTTCAACGCAAAATGCTCAAGAAAAAATTTAGTGCCATTAGTTTCATTCATGTGTCAATTTATTTAATATTAGTTTCCGTATCATATCAGCAATCGGAACCACAGCTATGCAACGATAATTTTGTGAGTATTATTCTTTATTATTCTGTTGAAATTTTTGTGCCTATATTATAATATCTTTTGCTAGATTTTACTCTTTGAAAAAGCAACTATTTATTATCTATTTATTAATCAATGAGATTAATAATCTTGAAGCATTTTACTCATAATTCTTTTTACCTTTTAGTACATACACTTCAGAAAAAGTATGAGAATTCTTAATATATTTTTACCATATTTATTATATAATTTTCTATTATTAAGATTATGATATAAGTATTATCAATTTAAAATTAAAATTTTTCTTTAAGCGATAGACCTGTATTGTTTTATGTTCAGAATCAAAATTTTTCAAGAAATCAAAGTTTTTCATGAGTAAAAATTTGCAGGTTTACAGTCCAAGCTCATACAGATGTGAAGAATTGACTCCCGGGGGCCCACCTGGCATTGCAGACACCCTTCCGAAGCCTGAAGTGCCCATGGCTCCGCTATTGCCATTATTCCCATTTGGCCCACCACTAACGCCACGACCACCAGACCCTGATGTCCCACCACCTCCTCGTCCCACTCTTCCCCCAATTGAAACACCAGCACCTACGCCACCCCCGGTAGAAACGCCGGCTCCCACGCCTGCTCCTACGCTTCCTCCAGAGTACATGCTTACTTTGAATTGTTATTCAGTTTTCAATATTTAAAAATTATTAGACAACCAGCCGCGGAGACGCCAGCACCAACCAAACCTGTGAAGACGACTCTTTCTGATACAACTGCTGCCACAACCACAGGTTCAGTTTAATAACCATTCTCATTTAAAAACACCATTACTTACCTCGAAGAGCTAGCAAAGAAGAGAAAAAAGATTTATATTGTGTTGCATTTATTTTAAGACATTTCAACGTCAAATTTTACGTTAGAAAACGGAGCAAGTAAATTTTATCTGGATGCATGGAAATAAAATTAACGTTTGTGTTAATTAATGTTTACAACATCAGTTTCCATAGCAATGACTTTCATAAATGACACCAAAGCTGTATGCCGTATGGATCTTTTTCCACTTTTAACCATCGCTCGCCTGAAATTGAATGAATATGCAACCCGCGTGACGTTTATGGCACGGTTGTTGCATACATTTTTAAAGATAGATTAGAAAATATTTTTATATGTATTATTTTTGTTTCTTTGTCGTCATTGTTACAAATAAATTGTTTACATTCAATTATTGAAAAAATTTTGTTTAAAAAAGGAATTGTTAGACAAAACGGCAAACTATTTAATACACAACGCTTGTGAAATTCTCATAATGTAATTATACCTTATTATTAGAAATTAAAATTTAAAAAATTGAGGAAGGAAGGATTTGATAAAAATAATTTTTTTGAAATTATTTATGATATGAAATGTGAGCTTGTTATAAAATTTCCTGAAGATTGCTTTCAAATGACACCTTTGGAATTTTTTTCTCCAAATTTTATTGTGAAAAACACAATTTTTTTTGCAGCGCCTCCAGTTGTGACCACAGCAGCCACGGTACCCACGACAACAACTGTTGCCACTACTCAACCTGCAGCACCAACCGATACAACGACTGCACCTAGCACCGCAGCTCCTGAAGCGACCACCGCTGCCACAACCACAGCGGCACCTGCCGATAATACGAAAGCTCCGTCCGGGGACACAACCGTCGCTGCCGCAGCAACGACGAAGGCTGCTGGGGCAGGTGCGACGACGAAGGCAGCTGGAGGAGGGGCAGAAGCCACTGAAGCTGAAGCTGGTGGTGGTGAGGAAGAGGCGGCCGCAGAGATGATTATGCCTGGCTTTGTAGAGGGGCTGTTGTTTGATCCCCCAAAAATTTCTACAAAAAATTGGGTCTTCAATAATAAAGGGCCTCTGAGTAGTACGCAGGCTGTAAATAGCAAAGGAGCTTCGACTAGTAAAAATGCTGTATTTAGTACAACCCGCTTTACTACACCTCCAGTAGTGCAGGGCTTTCGCAGCACGGCCAGTAGCAAAGGCAAACCCACACCTAGAGATGTAGAGAAAATTGACCCAAAAGAGCAGGCAACAACGCCGAAAGGTGTCGTAGGCAAATTCCGCTTCCCTCGTCAAGTAGATGACGGCGCCTCCTTTTCCAATTACGCATCAACTCCACCTGCTGATTTCCCCAATGAAATTTTCCCACCCACCAGCTTCACCACTGCAGATCAGTGGTCTACGCCAAATCTGCTTAATTTAACCGTTGCTGGGCCGCCTAAAGATTATTTCTTTACTGGTTTTGCATCCACTTTCATGCCAGCAGAGAACAATCTTACCTCAACAAAATCCTCTTTGGAGAATTTGAATTTTTTCGTTCCAACTGTAGCTTCAAATTCTGGAAATTATTCGTCGAGTCTTTCAAGTGCCAGACCAAATGATTTATCGACAACCGTATCCACCACATTTGCATCGGAGGTATTGCCACAGAATATTGAAGAATACTGCTTGGAGTGCGATGATTCGCCCCCACATCTTGGCAAATTGTGTGATTTCAACGATGGAGCTTTCATCAATGCGTAAGTTGATATTATAATAAAATAAAATAAGTTACTGTATGAATTTTTATACTGTTTTTTTTATAAAAAAAATTAATTATTAAATAGAGATTTTTTTGTACTCCGCAAAAAAAATGCAATTTGCAGACATTTTTTAGTTTTTATATAATGTTTATTTTTCTGAGATTAAATTTATTTTGTATTTTTAAGATGCGGTAAATGTGTTGAGGGGCGCACGGGTCTACCAGCGAATTTGGGCCTCAATCTCTGCGGCCACTGTGCCAATCCCAGGCCAACAGACTGCGTCGGCCAGTGCTTTGCGTCCAACGCCACCGACAGCATGGATAGCTGCGGCCGATGTTTGCCAACAATGGCAGAGAACAGAGAAAGTAAAAAAAAAGCTGTGACGTCAATTAGAAATTTTAATGTCATTTGCATGTAGAGTGTGTGATTATCACGACAGTGTTCCCGCCGCTGATTGACAGATGTACCACAAAGCAGCAGAATGTCGTGCTTACACTCTCTGGCGCCGGATTAAATATGCACAGCCTTGAGGGAGTACAGTGCTCGTTAATGCACGCAAACGTTAAGGTACGTGAGTGAACGAAAGCATTTTTTTTTGCTCCTACAAGCAGGAATATTGTAAAAAGTGGCAAAAGTATTAATGCAAAATCAATTGGTTTGGTTAAAAAAAAGTATTTCAAAGTTTTGGAAGGCATTTTTAATTTAAAAAGATCATTTGTGCTAAGCTCCTAAAAATTTCAATTATTTATTTTACTTGCTCATTAACTTCAGCATTAATTTAAAAAACAGTTAGTTTATAATAATAATTTAGCACTTCAGAGAGTCACATTGAGTTTTGAATTAATAATTGTTTGAAGATTGAAATACTTTTGTAAGACACCTAATCCACTTGATTATATAAATTTAACTATATCAAGTAAATTGTATTTCACTGAAGACAAAATTTAAAATAAATTTAATAAATTATCAGAAAGAATTTTAAATAATTAAATTTTGTAACTATTATAGTATAACAATAAAACAAAATATTTATAAATTAAAAAAGTTGTAGCTGCATTGAAAATATTTTAAATAAAAAGCAAAAAGTTTATAGTATCTAGTAAATAAATAATGCAGTGAAATTGTGTCGCAGGGATTAGTAATGAATAAGTCTCAATCGATTGCAGTTAGCTAATGGAGTGCTGAGAGCTACGCCTCGTGAATCGTCCCTTGACGTGGAGATAAATGTTCCTCAGCAAGAGGGTCGATTTAAAATCAACTGCTACGAGCCGACAAATGAACTCGTCTCGAACGGATTTGTCAATGTTGTGGACAGCTCCGAGCTGCCTGTCACCGGAGTCTCTCCCAACACGTTCTTTGTCGGCGTGGAAATTCAGGTTCGCACGTTTGACAATTATTCTTTTTGATCATTTGAAATAAAGAGAAAGGAAGTGAGAAACAGAAATCAATTAATTTACGGGAATAAATCAAGTTGATTAATATTTCCCTTTGTTTTTGCCTCCGACGATAATTACAAGAAAATTAATTACGATTTCTTGTCGAGTGCAGTTCAACGCAACCGTGCCGCAAGCGACTGCAAATCATCGTCTTCTCTGTGCTCTATGGTCTAGAAAAGAGCTGATAACGATAGTCCCTGCTTTGGCCGAGGAAGGGTCAGTGAAATGTGGACGCATTGAGCTGACTGTAGCTGGAAGATTTCAATTGCGAGTCGTGGCTTCAGAATACGCTGCTCTGGCCAAGTAATTGAAAATTTATTTTTAAGTAAAAAAAAAAATAATAATTCGCATCAACTCGATTATGATTTTCTAGAAATAAGTGTGCTACGAGTAGTGAAATCGTTGTCAAGGCGAGAGCACCCATTTTAGTCTCGTCCTTCATTTCACCGGATCTTCGGGCCATTTGGTTCGATTTCGACCAAAGTGTGGAGGGCCCTACTCAGTGTGACAAGATTTTTTCTGCGTCCTCTATAAAAGTTCTCGGTCGAGGTTTGTAAACCCGCGTTTCCTTTGTTAACGTCACACTACTACTTTTACAGCACCAAAACTTTCCTAATATAAAACGCACGTCACAAACTTACTTTCACTCTTTTTCCCCACAAAAAGAAATCATCGATGCGTCACATGAACTTACAAAAATTCCACAGGTGTCGTCTGCGAGTACGCCGGGGCTCGTTTACTGGCCAAACTGGGCAAAGAACCGGCGATCCAGTCAGGTGGAAAAGTGCAAATCGTCGTGGAAAATGGCATCAGGCGGGCGGGCAGTTTAGACGCAGACGTGGCCGAGACGCTCACTGGTGTGTTCGCCACCGTTACCCTTCACCCCTCGGCGGTACGCGCCTCGCATCTCTTCTTTACTCGATTCGAATCAAAGCAATTTTCCAGGTGGCCGTGCCGCGTTACCGAATCATCCCTTCAAATCCCACTTGTGACGCACCTGCTGGCGCGAGTTCCGTCGCCGAAATCCGGGTCGTGCCGGAAGACGGCAGGGAATTGAATGCGAGCCTTAGAATTTCGTTCAACGGCAACGAAAGTCAGAATCAGAGGCGAAACTTATACTTGTGGAACACGATTCGAAATATTGGAGATCAGTTGCTTCAGCAGCATCGAAGGGAAGGTGGAAGCAACAGAATTTCAATAAACACTTCGCTGGTGAGATAAAAGTGGAAATATATAAAAATTAATTTAATTTTTCCAAATATTTGAATTAATTGTTTTGCATCAATTATTAATTAATTATTTTTATTTTAAAAGCGCCAAAGTCAGCAACATTATTTTTAGGGGCATTATTGCGTTTTATGAAATAATAAATTATTTCTGCCAATAACTTGCCATTTATCTGTCTGTCAAAAGTTAGTGCCCGGCGTCGAGTATCGGATAACTGTCTGGGCCGTCGACATGCTGGGCACGCCAGGAGAGGAGCGCGAAGTTCTGGTCCAGACAGATCTACAGACGACTCAGCAGCCAACCCAGCTAATTATCCTCGGCCCCGAGACGACACGAGTCGATCTGGAGCTGAGGGCAGAGGCCAAACTTGTGTCTTGCGATCCAAGGGCCGCCCCGCCTGCCAGAATTAAGGTTCGACACTTCACAACAAACTTTGTTAATTTCCTCCAACAAGCACCAAACAACTGCTATCTATTATAAATGACGTCCCCGAGCCTTTCAGTTAGCAAACATTTATGTTTTTTTTTTAATGTTAAAAATTTATTATTTTTAAAGGAAATTTGAATATTAATTAAATTGCGGCGGATGAGATCTTTTTTATCTTGGAAGTTTTAGCAAAATTCCTTTGTTTAAATAAATTGTTTTCAACAATTGAATGTATGAAATGTGAAAAATAAACAAAAAAAATATTAATAATATTAATAATTATACATTTTAATTTTCAGTTTGTGTGGGGAGTTATGGCTGCTGGCGGTCCACTTCCAATTAAAACGTCCCAACTAGGTCGAGTCCTTCGCCTGCCTCCCTTTTCCATGAAAGGTGGCGTACCGCATCAAATATCGTGTTCAGCTTATCTAGAATCAGATCCAGCCACGCCGTTTGCCACGGTAAACCCTCGCCTAACTCAAAACTAGAGCGACCCCAATTCTGTGTGTTTATATCTAATCCCATTTGGGTACAGGGATCCTTGGTCGTACTCACCAGTACTGTCGGCGTCGAGTCTCACATCCCTGTAACCTCGATTACAATTGGCACAAATCAATTTTTGGAGATCGACGGACGAGCCTCACGAGACTTGGACGCTTATCCGGGGCCCCTGCAGGTGAGTGAAACGCAAACCCGCTCAGCTGCGATGTCGAGCCGGTAGCATAACTTTGATTTTTCCAGTTCTCGTGGGATTGCACAAGGGAGAGCGCAACTTGTGTGGCGCCGAGATCAGGCGCGCCGACCTCGTTGCGAACTGTTTACGAGCAAGAAATGGCGAAGGAGATTTTAAGACTACCACCTGGTGCTCTGGCAGTTGGGGAGTACGATAAAATTTTTGACTTTATTATTTTACTATAGAAGTGTGAAAGCTTATGAGATATGATATTTGCGGAGAAATTAAATAAGGAAAATCTTTAATTCAAATTTACACTGCAAAAAGAATGAAAAAAATTAATTTTTTTTAATTATCTTAAAATAAAAATTAAATAAAAAAATCAGCTGGAAATTATTTTACATAATATTTGATATTAGTTTATTTATTATTAATTTTAAAAGAAGAGCGATTTAAAAAAAAGACTAGGAACAACAGAATTACTCTTCCTTTCCACAAATTTTTAAATTGTTTTTGTATCATTAAATTTTCAGGCACATCTTTTCCTTGCGAGTGAGCAGAGCAAGTGGCTCACCGTCGGCTTCATCAAAGACCCAAGTTAAAGTTCGAGTTGTTCGCGGAGCCTCCCCCACGATTCGCCAGCAGAAACCACTTGCAAATCCCGTAGACCCGACCATCGATACCCTTATCAGAGTTCTTCTGGAAGGCCTAAGCGGCCGCTGCTGGGCCAAGTGGCGCGCCGTAGTCAAAGCGGCCGGGGAGGTGCCCATCGAGCTGGACGACCAAGCAACCGTCAGTTTGTGGGAAGAGAATTCCAATAGCAACAGGTGCTAAGCGGCTTAAAACGCACGCAGATTTGAGTTTAATGCCGCCGAATATTTCAATAGGGAACTCGTGCTGACTTTGAAGGCGGGAAAGCTTTTGCCTGGTGCTGCCCACCGCCTCGCTCTGGACGCAGCCTGTTCGCAAACACCAGACAGGGTGGCCGTGAATAGGGCAGCTCTCGAGATTGAAATCAAAGTGGCCACCGTGCCTACACCGCCTGCTGTTTCTGTAAGTTTGAATTAATTTAACAACTCAATTCGGCAAACTGATAAAATCATTCTTTTGACTATCATTTTGAATGCAAACTGATGAGTGTATACGTGGAAAGGTTCTTTGAGAGCGAATTTTGTTAACTCGGGAAGTATTTTCAGAAAGAGCGTTGCTCTTACGAAAATTGAATTGCAAATTCTCGCAAATTGATAAAAAATTATCTGTCACAAGAAGCTCGTTAAAAATTCTCAAAGGGAATATTTTTGCTCCAGGTCTTCCCGAAATTCGGAGAAGCTCTGAGCACACTTTTCACAATATCTGTAGAGTCGGAGGGTGCAACGACGTTAACCTCTGGCTTGGAACAACCCAGCAGATTGGTTTATGAATTTGGATTTCGTGAGGTTGGCAGCCTAAAGATCCAACCATTGCAAACTTCTCTCTATGACTTAACCAGCACTACTCTGCTTCACTGTGGTATGAATCAATTACAAAAATAAAATTAACCAACTGAGCCAAAAAAGTTAAAATTTGAAATTTTTGCCAGTAGAGATTTAATTAAAACTTTGCTAGCTTTCGCCTGGGTAAAACCGTTCTTGCTGATTACTTTACAGAATGTAACGATTAAATTTGCAGTTTTCATTGCGATTGTAGCTTATCGCACTCGGAATACGCGCCGAAAACTTTTCACAGCAGCTTCCAAATAAGTACATAGTTGCGGATGGAATTTCTCACTTACAGAGGGTGGCGTCAGCGAGTGTTCGGTGGTGCCGGTGGTGAAAGTTTGCGATGCTCACGCAGTTTGCAGCTCATCCGAGGCGATGCCAGTAAGAGTTTCCAAGCCGGCCGCAATTTCGCAATATAATCTAGAGTGAGTTGAATTATTAAGTGGGCGCCTTAAATATGGTGCGACTGTCAGCGGGCTGCCCAATTTTATTATGAGCACTTTTGGGCCTGGCGCGAGTCAGAAGCAGCAAAATAATTAATGCACACAGCACCGTCCAACTTTAATTAATTAGACTTTCAGTGGCATAAATAGATACATCATTTGTTGGTTTCAAAAGCATCAAGACATGAATTTTGTCCCGTCGCTTAAACAGAAAATGTTTTCCGAGCACGCAACTTTTGGCCATTTATTTGAAGTACGGGAAATTGCTCTTTTTATCACGGACCAAGTCTGTGTTAAAGACTAAAGCATGCCGAATTTATGAGTTTACTTTCTGACCTCCAACTTTCTTTCCTTCCGCTTGCATGTAAAGGGAATTTAGATAACACAGTGATTGCACTGGTGAGTGAAGCAGACGCACAAGTAATATATTGGAGGCTTTGAATTTATTGCTTTACTTATAGTTTCTAGGATAATATCAAAGTCCAGTTAGTTTTACATGAAATTGATCATTTGGTTTAGGACCGTGGCACTAAAAATTGATGATCTGCTGGACATTCGGAGGATTGGCGCCGCTTACACTTTAGCTCGGGGAGCAATTCAAACCGCAAGAGACGTGCCAGGGGCCAACCAGGCAGCATTAATACTCAGCCAAAGGGTCGAAACTTCATTTGCACGGACCATAAGCGATATGGAGCGGAGGTAGGTGTTTGAATGCAGCAGAAGTAATCCTAGGAAAGTCCAAGAGCGTGCCATAAATTTGTATTATTTCGGTCCTAATAGGCTCGACAGCGGCAACGCCAACGCCATGCTCAAAATGTTGGACGGCGAAAACTTTTCCAACCAGCAGCACGAACCGGCCCCTCTTTCCACGATCGCAATCGCTTTGGAAAATCTGAGCGACAGAATAGAAGCTGCTCTCCAAACTCGAGGCAAGTTGTAACAAAATTTTACAAATTAAAATTTGCAAAAATCATTATATATTAAAAAGAGAGTACATTTGAGTTTAAATTCTGATTTTTAATTAAAAAATTTCTTCATACTACAATTTTGCAAAAGTTTATAAATTAATAGTTTTTTTTTTAGAATTGTAAGTCGTTTTTATTTATTTTTGCTAAATTTCCTAAACTTTTGAAAAGAAAAATTATATTTTAATTAATTTTTCACTCCTATTGTTCACAATTTTAATGAATGTTTTTGAATTGCAACTATTTGCTGACTATGATGCAATGTATCCGCATTAAAATTACAGCACCAAAGGTGATGCCGCGGAGATTTATGGGCAGCAGACAAATGGAGCCTTCGTGGCCCAATCCGCGGCGCCGAAAGCGACAGGACGACGAGCTGGAGAACAATCTCACCGTGCGAGAGGTATGTGTAGTAAAATTTTACGATCCGCCGTGTGATGCTCGCTTGCAACAGATCTATTCTCTAAACCTCCTCCTACTGGAAAATCAATATCGGAAGATGTTAATCAGCGCGCTCCTTTGCTGAATGAATTCGATCGTTAAAGGAGAGTTGCTCCTTTACGACTACTCATTCATAAAAGAGAAGGGTAGTGAGAGAATTAAGATTTAAGATATTAATATAATAATACTTGAAAATTCCATGAGATATAAATTTATTGTATCTCAAAACAAAATTTTAAAATTATTCGTAAGATTTCATTCGATTTAATAACAATCTAATAATATTTTTTTGAATATATATCTTCTAAATAATTAAAATGCTTCTCTGAACTTTGAGCACTGCCCTCCAGCTATCTTTAAGAGCAAATTCATAAAACGCATCGATCGACACGGCTGATTAAACATTCAACACCGTCGTTGTAAACCTCGTTAATCATAGTCAAAGCGCCGAGTTTAAATTAACGCCAAGCCTTGCGTCCTCCTTATAATTAAAACTGGGAGACGAAGGAGCACCGAAAAATAAAATTATGACACCCGTACAGTGGCAATTAAGTTCTTTGACGCGGCGTTAAATAATGTGTGTAATTACGCGTGCTCGGCAGGTGTCCGAAATGGTGCAACAGTCGGAAGAAATCATTTTTCGCCACGGCTCCGGTGGCACGGCTCAAAGGGAAAGGGCTTTATTAAGACGACGACTCGACTCGTTTTTGCGCTCTCTTTGCTCGGAGCAGACTTTGGTGCGCTCCCGCATTGTGACTTTGAGCACGGCAACTCTGCCGCAGGTGGAGCGCCTACGCGTTCCTCTGCCTCACAATCACCAAATTAAAGATGAAGAACCAGCGGCCTACGTAAGATTTCATCCTCTTTTTTATTTTCATTAGCATGTGCTTCTCCGATTTGAATTGCAGGAGCATTAATTAAAATCCAACTCTCGCAGGTTCAAGTGTCCGACGATGATGGTGTTGATGACGAGACTTGCTTCGGCGTGTCGCTTATCACGGATGACTTTGAGACTGAGAACGCCTCATGGAGTTTTCAAGACATGTAAATAATGATCTCTTTAATGACATGCAAAAGTTTACTCCGTGTGAAACTTCTTGAGCTGAAAGCCCGCGAGCTATGAGTCTGCAGGAAAAAATGCAATCTTGAGATTGAATTTAATTAAAATGAACATGGACTTTTTTATGCACTACAATTTTTACTTAAATTAATATCAAAAATGTTTTAAAACTTGATTGCTATATTGAGTTCCGTCTTTGAAGATTTTGCAATTAAATGTTGTTTAACAGCATTAATAAAATTAATATCCTCACTTTAGGCGAGCGGACACCGTAGTTAGGCTTCACACGTTCAAAGAGACGGGTCACGCTCAAGAGGTGGAAATCGACATTCCACTGGACGCTCCTGAGAGTACAGATCAAATTTGGATGGTAATTACAGCATCAATATGCAAATACAATCCATTTTAGTTCCAGAGAATGTAATTGAAACAACATGTTTGAGATTTTTTAAGGAATAGAAATGACGATATAATTTAAATATAAATAGCAAAATTAATCAAGATTGGAAATGAATGAATCGGGTTTTCCTCGTTGCAAGAATTGATTTTTATTCAAAAAACAATCAAGATTACAAATAATATTTTTTGATTAAATATAGATTTAAAAAAAAATAATATTTTGCATTCATGACATATTCGAACTTTTTAAATTAATTAAATCTTACTATCTTTTGCAGAATAGTTTAATATTGTTGTCTCCACTGTTTGAAAACAATTTAAAAATAACATTTATTGTTAAATCTAAAATCTATATTAAAATACTATGGTCTGCAAAATAAGTTTAAATTTCTGAATGAAGCAATAAAGCTTTATAAGCTTTAAAATAAAATATAATATTTTAAATAAAACATTTATGTAATTTTTAAATTAAGAAATTTTAAGTTTAAAAATAACATTATGCAAATCTCCTAACAATTGAGTATGTAATACAAATTAATAAATGCTAAAACCTTGAACAATTTCCAGTGTGCTCGTTGGGACACCGAGAGCTACGACCAGTGGCTGACTAATGAGTGTCAAAGCCTCTCAACGCAGCCTACTCGGTTGACGTGCCTTTGTCCTTTCCAAAGTGGCTTCTACAGGTACCTAATTGCAAGCGCGATCAACGTCAGCCGAAAAGGTTAATTGGCTCTGCGTTAAATTTCAGCGCGGTGCTGACTGTTGCCGAAACCGCAAACGACGGCGAGTTGGCTTTCCATCACGGAGAAAAACCCACCGGGCCACCAAAAACTAATCCCGCTCCATCCTCCACAGCCTCCACCCAGACGGAGCAAGAAAAATTGCATCTCGACGAAGATGACAGAGAAGAATTCCTCGCGCAAACCTTGTTTATGCAGAATAACGAGAAATTGGTCCACCTGCAGCATCCAGAAAAGCTCTCAACCCCCGGAACGGTGGATTCGCTCAAAGCCGCGATGATCCAGCCACAAGGACCACCCCGGTCGGAAAAACTGTCCTCCAACTTAATAACCTTCACGTGAGTGAGTTACGAATTTGATCTGGGCGGCGTGCGTGTTTTCGGGTGCTGCTGGGCAAATTCATTTGCGTGAACACGTTCTGGATTGGAAACTGAGTAGATGGGGTGTGAAATTCAAAGTGAGAGCGTGGACGGAGCAAAACCACACCCCGATCGAATCGAATCTCCAAAAGCCACCGAACGCATACTTTTTCTCAAATGAGGGGCAGAGATAAATCATATATTTTAAAATATATTTTAGAGGATTTTAAAATTTTAATTTTAAATATAATTCAAAAATCCACAAACACCTAAAAAATATAACACCTAAAAAAGAATTAAAAACACAAGCTGATTTTATTTATATTCTGGTTGAGAAAAAAAGTATTTAATTTATTTTGATTTTAGAAACATTTAACTTCAAAAGCTTTTCATGGGGAGAGTGTAAATTGGTTATGGTACAATTAATTGAAAGCTTTTTATTGCAAATTTCCGGTCAATTTCATGCGCGTGCCCCTTTTAAAAATTTTCCTTTGTCACATTTTACACGTCCACCGAACTAGATTTTTTCATTTCAAATACCACGATTTTACACATCAGATTAGTTTTTTGCCATCGACGAGTGACTTTTACGTTGACCTTTTTGCATATTTGCTTCACACAGGGTGCAGAGTGATTTGCTCGTGGCTACACAGTTTCGACCCATAACAGAACTGGAGGCGAAAATAAAAAAGCAGTTGGCTCAGCAGATACGCCTTCCAGAGAATTCGATATCCGAATGCACGATAGAACGAGGTAATAATTAGATAACATTTGCTGGAGCTGGAGAGATATTGCATTCTCTCGCAAGTTTAATCACAAGCACATTAGCGATCAGGAAATTTCCGCACCGCCTGTCCGGCGTCCGGCCATAGTGTGAATAATTGGCAGCAAAATTACAGTTGGTTCTTTTTTTTATTACCCTCAAAAACGCATTTTGAACTTTTTACCCCGAAATCGAACTCCTTATTAACTCGCGCAAAGTGATCTTTAAAACTTTCAGCACCTCAGAAAGTTGGATTTTTCATTCGCCTAATCTCAAGAGGGCCGCGTTTTCAACAGAGAGCGCTGCAATTAAGGCTAACTGTGTAGAACGTGCGGGTGAAATGGACCGGCATTTCACTTGCGGAATATGGCATGATAAATTTTGGCGGCGTGAAAAGTTGCTCGCAAGCGGTGAACTTTCGCTAAAAAGCCTGCGAAGCACTCTTTTTAAGAAATATGCAGAGGCTGCTGTGATGAAAAAGAAGCCTTCGGAGTGCCATGCATCTTCTTTCCATGCGAGAGGAGAACGATCCAGAGAGGCGAACTCATTTCACATCTCTCGGTGGGGCTGTAATTAATATTTTCCTCCAAGAATGAAATGTGGATCGTGCGAGAGGCGCGCATTATTCCCGAGAACGCGCGATGTACTTTGTTATACTCTGCGCGTTGTGAAACATGAGTGCGTTAATAACTTTTATTATTTCTTCTGCTGCACATCGCATTCTGATGAAAATGAGAAATAATGCTTTTATTTCGAAACGCTTCACCGAATCCCTTGGAACATTGTTTTATTAAAGTTTGCTGGCCATTCTTGTGTAAAATGCGAGATTTATTATTGCAAAAATGTGCAAGAGAAAATCGCTATTTCAATAAACTGCAAAACTCCATTATTTTTCATAACTATTCATATCCTTTTACGAGAGCTAGAAATTTTTAGTTAAAATATTGAAAACAATAATTATTTGAAGTTAATTAAGTTAAATTTATACTTCTAACAAAAATTTCATCAAACTTTCTAAATAACGCATTTTCTTTATTAAAACACTATTTTTGTGCAAGTGGCTGTACAAGTGGAATACATTCATTGAGATAATTCATTCATGTTCACCCGTGTTTGCATTATGTATTTTCAAGGCTTTGAGAGACATTTGATCGTCACTTGTACGAGTCACGCTTGATTTCCGAAACAACTTTCTGGCGTCTTGAAATATAATCGCTATTCTCAAAGCTAAAAGATTAAAGACGCTCTCAAGACAAACTCGCACTTGTCGACCGGGAACAAGGCAAGAGTATATTTCTCGCAATAGGCATTTTCCGGCAAACAACGAGCGTGCAATTCCAGCCCGGAGATCGTGTGCGATGCTGAAATATGTCACAGAGAGAACAGTAGCAGCAGCCAGCCTCGCTCGTACGTAGATTAGATGACTGTCGGAGTAGTGCCGGGCTATATTTTCAACGGCGCAAGGCAAACATAGCTTTGCTTTTAGGCGTAATTACAACGAGTCCGTCGTCGCTAATTGTAATTACACTTGTCTTGCGAGATGATGTATAAATTTGGCGTGTGACGCTGGAAAGAGAAACGGAAAATGCCCTTGAGCTCAAGATTAAATATTTGCAGTTCTATAAGAGTGTTAAATCATAATCAAAATTCAAAGGATTAACAAATATACATTTAAATTAATTTTGAAGGTTCCATTTCTGTCCGAATAAGCCACCCGAAGGATGAAGTAGTGAAAAGAGGAGTGATGGAATTAGTTCGCCTTTTGAAACTGGGACGTCTTGACCTGCAAGGATTTAACAACGACCGCATTCGAATCGCCCCTCAGGCCGTGCCAGGGTACCAAACAGAGGAGGGAGGTAATAACAACCCTACAGGGCCGTCCGGACCAGGATTTGACCCAGGTGGTGTTCCCTCACCATCCACCCTTCCTCCAACCACCAGAAGTACGTTTACTGATCCGCCTGTGATCACTACCCCCTCCACCCCTCCCACAACTCCAAGTACCACTCCTGAACCCACGACAATTCGTACAACCACCCTTGAAACCACAACAACTCCTACAACTACTTTGGCAACTACACCTACCACCCCTCCAACCACTACCACAATTCCAACTACCCTCCCTACCCCTCCTCCGACGGAGTCGACTTCTACATCCACCCTTAAGAGCACCACTTTGCCAGCAACGATTCAAAACCCAGCCGGTGGTCCAGATACTAAGCCTGGTTCTGTGCCAGGGGCTGAAACCACGCCGACGACCACCAAATCTACAACCACAGAAGCGGGCATATCCAAAGACGCCGAGTGGGTTGACGCGGACGTCTACGACGAAAACCTAATCAATGGTATTTCTGAAAAATTCCTTTTCCTGGCACTTTTATCCTAGGGCACACCTGTAGTCAAATGCCTTTTTATTAAATGACTTTTGTTTTGCAAATTTATTAAAATTTAAATGAATTTTAAAAGCCGACCAGAACATGTTGTATGGAGTTTACGCCGGAGCAGGGGCGTCTGCCCTCATACTGATCTTGGTCATCGTCAAATCTTGCATTGACCTTTGCACCGACAAACCGGTGGATTGGAGCGAACTGCCGGAGAACGGACAAGTATGTCGCAGCAATATTTCTGCTTTTCTAACTGCCTTTTCTGCCATTCTCTCTTGGCCGCTCGCATTAAAATTCGGCGTGCACTTTAACCCTTCTCCAGCCGCGCGACGAGATGTATTTAGGGTGTTTTGCCATTCTGCTCATGCCTCGTACATGTATTTTATCAGATTCCCGGCGAAAAGACGCGGAAGCCCGCCGACGACACGCCATTGTACCGACCAATTCAATACCCAGACGAGATACAGGCCGCCCTTGCCCAAGTCAACAGCGCAATTTCCTTGCCACTCCAGCAAACGGTACGTGCACAATTTTTTTTCATTCAATTAGCTAATGAGATTTCTATCTAAAAAGTTTCCCTATTGGATTTTTTTGTTTTATTTTCATGAAGAAAAAAATATAAACTTTTACATTCAAACTGAAAGAGTTGTGAATTTAATGGACAATAAATAAATAAAATAAAATATATCATTAATTCAATTATTGTGCAAAAGAAGTACAAAAATCAATAAGCACAAGCTGCGTATTTATTTAATTTGTTATTTATGAGAATTTATTTATATTCCAAAATATTTTCCTTCAATCTTGAATTGTTTGGGGGAAAAATCAATAGAAAAAAAAGCAATATTTGTTCGTGCTGCGCTTGGGAAAGCACAAAATAAATTTTATAGCTCCCACATGTGGCGTTTCAAATATACTTCCAGGTTTATTTCAAATTCACCCCCTCCCTTTTTATTTTTTGTTCCAAAAGGAAGAGCCGCAGAGTTTTTGAAGATGCGCGAGAAAATATACGGCTTGTTTGGTTTATGCCATTTCAATCTGTTTTGCAGACTGGGTCAGAATATGATCCAGATATTGATTCGACGCTACCTGGGCGGCCTTATCGCGTGCAATAAATCCGAGGAGGAAGCAGACGAAGATCAGAAGGATGAGGAGGGAGGCGGCGCAATATTTCTCTCTCGCCGTGTCCATAACTCGTCCCTAAAAAGGAAATCCTCGCTGCCGGCCTAATTCAATGACTAACGCTCGTGGATCGACTTTAATGAAATACTATATATCAAAGTTCCTTAATAGACCAACTTAAGAAAGTCATTCGGCAAACACGCGAAATCCCTCCTCATCCCTGAATTGATCTATTGGTTTTTTTCCGCTGCTGTGCCGGAATGAACTCTGGCGGCGCCGAGCGCTTTTTTATTGTTTTACAACGGCGAGAGGTGCGTGTCGGTGTCAAAAGTGAATATTAATAAAATAACTTCCAGAGTGTACAGCTCTGGGCGAATTGGTTGATGCATTTTATTGCTGTCGATAGGTTTCGGGGCAAATCCAGCAACCGAGACATTAGGTGCGGCCCTTTTTTTGACCATAAAGGTAGCTCAGTTGACTCTCTATAATATTAACCAACAAAAGCACCCTGTATTTTTTTCGTTGGCTACAATGTGTAGAGCTTCAAAACGAGGCAAAATCTAATAAAATAAATTTAGAGCGCAGAGAGCAAACAAGGCATGCTATCGATTTGGCTTCAGCTTGTTTGCTGCCTTTGTATTTAATTCTATGTATAAGCGAAAACAGGTTAAAGTTACTCAATAAAATATATATTTAGATCAAACAAGTGGGTCGTGTTTTTTAATTCATTCATTAATTCACACCTACACGCCAAAAAGAAGTGAAAATCAATACATACGAGCTTTCGCAATTCTGCAATGGTGGAAAATGGCAATTGAGCCACGATTGTGTGCAACGCTGCGTGTTCTCCAGTGAAAAAAAGTCGCATTCCGTGTTGTTGGTGCAAATTGACGCACAGAGTTTGTAAACAAACTGGCATTATTTGACGCGTCTCTCTGTGTTTTGCAGTTGGTGGGAGTGAAACGCTAAATTATTTATCATTATCGCTCCCAGAATAACGACGAAACTTCCTGCCGGTGCGTATTTGCATAAGCCGCGTGTGTTTGGAAACATTTAAATTGGCCAAATTTGTTTGCAGAGTCAGCCACAGCAGAGCGGAAAATGGTGCACTAATTGGATAAATCAAAAGACACGTTGCTCCCGGAATTTACTTGTCAGCGAATAAATTATAAATTTTGTGCGGCCCCGGTAGAGGGTTAATTATTCCAACAGAACTAGTGACGTAAAGGTGCTTTGTCAAAACTGCTGCTGTGTTTATTTCCAAAACAAACACATGTGATTGAAGTGAAGCCAAGAAAGAAAAAATGAATAAATTATAGATAAGAAAATGATCAGTTTAGTAATAATAAAAAAAAAATTGAAAAATTAAAACAAAAATCGTCAACCATATTTTTTTATAAATGACAACATTTTATGTCATAAAATTTATTAACAGATGTGCTAAAAGCCGTAAAGATAAAATCTTAATGCACGCTCAATCAGCATTTAATGTTCAAGCATGGAGCTTCCCTTTTTTGCCATCAACAAAATTTCATTTTGTTGTACTGTTTTTTTTAATAATATATTTTTTACGCACATAATATAGCCTCCAGACAACATCAAATAAAAATTGCATGCACCACTGGTTCGGACTAAAAACGGAATGATTTTTTTTTCATCGTTCGCCCAGCGGCACTTTATTGATTTTTGATTAGTCGCGGATGAGGCGGAGGAGGCGTGATCTCGAGACCTCTGCAGAGCCCAAACCGGCAGCACCTCTCTCACAATTAGCAACTCTCAGTCTCGGCTAGAGCGTTGCCTGTTTAATACGCACGTTCACAGGGCCTGAATTATTGATGCTAATAACTGGTGGTGCTAATGAATTCGCGGCGCTGGGCTATGCGCCAGTGCTCTCACCCGCCCGGCGGCGGCAGCGACCGAATTTATAATATGAGGAAGGGCCTGCGTTTTGTTGGTTGTGTGTTTTTCGTCCGAAATGGGCTTCGTTTAACGACGAGTCAACATCTAAGCAAGTATTAAAGTTCGCGAACGTGCCTGAAATCTCAATCTGCGGCAGTGAGTTGGGGACACACCGCATTGCAACTCTTGTTTGCAAAAGGGACAAAGGGTGACTATGAATCAAGAGCACAAAATATAAAATAAATAATGATACTTTTATAATAATTAATATAAAAATATTTAATGTTAAGTTTTATAACAGAAATTTATTTTATTAATTTATTCTCTTTTCAAAAATAATTACATTAAAGTGTAAAAAAAAATGGAATCACAATACGTACACGAGCATATACTACCGTAAAGAAAGAGAAGAATAAAAAATGAAAATTTCCTTTTTTACAATTTAACAGATATTTAATAATTTTTTTAAATACTGTCTAATTTAATTTCTGCTAAAATAATTAATAATGCTAATATAATTTTTTTTTGCAAGCGCTTGTGAGATGTTTTACTTTTCTTTTTCTAATTGAGACGAGTTGCCGTTTGAATTGAATTTTTATATTGAAAGGCTAAATTTCAATAATTTAATTGAACACATTTATTTGCTTTAATTCTTATTTAACCGCTATTTTTTGCTACACAAATATTTATGTATGCTAAAGGATTTTATTTTTCATTTTTGCAGGCAAGCTTTTTTCCGCGGAGGCGTTTACCTCTGCATATTTTGTTAAATTTCAGCCAGTTTTAAATCAAAGGTTTTTTGTCTGCCCGTCGTCTGCACTCAAAAGAAATTTTGACTGACAGATGCGGGTGTTAGTCCGCAAGAGAAAAGTGCTTTTCCACGTCTGGTGCAGAGATTAAACCAAGGGCAAATACATATATAATGACTAGTGACGAGCTCTTGATTTTGCGTGGCCAGCGCTTCTGAACCCTTTTTGATAAAAATGAGCAGAACACGTATAATAGAACAAACGTGTGTTTTGAGTGCGACCCATTTCGCTGCTCCTCTGTATGTCATCCGCAGCACTCAAAGGATTCCCAGCTGCTGCTCTTTTGCTCTCTAGAACGATGCTAATAAAATAATTAATTGGTACGGACTGTGTGCTTATGCATATTTTTTTTCAAGTGAAAAGTTTTAGTTATTTTTTAGAGAATTCTATCAAAAATTTATTAGTTTGAGTTTTTTTATATTCAATTTTGGTTATAGAAATTAAAAACATTATTCAATTTCATGCACTCCATCACATTTTTTCCTTCATCGTCATTGGCTTGCTGCGCCGGTTGCCTATCTTTCAAAAACAATCTCTTATGTCGTTGAACCTTGACAACATATATCGCAGCAGACTAAAGCAAAGGTAAAGATGATCAAAGGAAATCCATTTAAACGGTTTGTCCTCATAAACGTGACCACCTGCACATAAGGCTTTCTGCTCAGCATGCATAAATAAGTACACGCGGGGCCATATGCATACGGACAAGACCCAACCAAGTTTCTCCTTTTTATTCTTTTGGCTGGGAGACGAAGTAAAAAATCGTCCGATCTTCTTCTTCTTCTTTATCTTTCCCTTCCATCGGCGGAATAAGTTGTGTGTTGATTTTTGTGCGAGGGAGGATGGAGAAGAAGTGGTCTGATGGGCGGGCGGGCGGGCAGGCAAACAAGGAGTCAATCTTTGCAAAAGAAATCTCATTAAACTGCTTGTAAGCCCCGACTGACTGAGAGGAGGAAAAAGTAGAAGAGCACCTCGTCCGCTTCAAGATAAGAGGAAGTATGCAGTGCCGTTGACGGACACGCTCAAGAGGAGATGCCGACGGACGCATAGTTTCTGCGCCTTTCCTGCCCTCGGATAGTCTCTCAAAATTGCACCGCAAGAAAAGGAAAAGAATTCCAACGTATGGAACTTTTCATTCTGCAAATAATGGAGAATGCCCTAGATCTCAGTAAAGCTGATTAAAACAATAAAATTGATTTTGAATTATTATAAAATAATATTTTCTAAATCACAGAAATCAATCTTTAAAATAAATTAAAATAATTATTTTTGGTTTACTTGAACATTGCCTAGCCATTTTACTACTTGATTCTCTTAAAAATTCATAAGAACTTTATGTGGCAGGCAATTTGTACGTCACTTTTATTGAGCGAAGTAACACATAAATTCCGAAATTCAATTCGCCGGCTGAACCTAATTTGGCATAAATTACGCACCGAGGTTTATTATTTAGCGCTTTATGGTGCTTTGTAAAGGGGCGTTTTACGACATGCTGCTGTGTATGCTCTGTTCGTTCTACGAACTCTATTACTCGCCGTGTAATTTACTTTTTGGCTTTAAAAGAAAAACACGCGCCGCAGGGCGATTCTGGCGTGATTGATGAGCTTGAAATTCTCTAATCGCTCCGAGTGAAATGAATCAAGAGAGGCGCGGAGTGTCGGCTAGTGGGAACGAAATTTTACTTTTAAATCTCTCTCTACGCTTTCATTAGTGACTCCCTTATTTTGAAGGAGGAATCACGTCTAAAACTAACTGATAACGATCTGGGGAATTCGAGTAATGATGATAAATGAAGTCTTGAGTTTGTTTTACTGCGAAAAAAGGCAGATTGAGCGTTTCTATATAATTAGAAAGTAAATCTTGTTTTAACAAGGGACTAAATTTAGACAAGTTTTAAACAAAGATGAATCAATTAGAGATTTCAGGTTAAGCGTTTACACAATTAATAAAATAATGAACTGATTTTATGATTTATTTCATTTTTTTTATTTATTTGGGGAGAAAATTCTAAATTTGTATTTGGTTAATATTATGTTTTAATCAAAAGTAAGTTTTCCTCCAACAGTTCCCCGGAGAATGAGGACTTTGTAATACAAGCTAAACTAGTTCCAAACTTTCAGCAAAATCAATTCCAAAAGCACCCATGAACTCAAATGGCTTTGCAAATCGAATTATCAAACTCCCGAACCGGTTGAAAAGCCAGGTCAATTTGATGGCTTGGCTAGATTGGCAATTTCTTTGGATGCAAGGTTGAATATAATTCAATTATAATTGATTTTCTGCATTATTTTGTAATTAAATTGATCTCCGTAAATAGTTTTAAAAGCAATCATCAAAACGTTTAACTCTATTTTGCGTTTGCACCTAAAGCAAATGGGCAGAGTTAAAATAAACAGCGAACAAATTACTCTCTGCCCAGGGCCACAAAGCATGCGTTCAAACAAACCTAATAAACAGAGCTACGTAATTCAAAAAGTTCAACGGCCGCACACATACAACATTTGTCGTCAAATTTACGATATACTATATTTGCAGCTCTGAAATTGGAAAGTCAAATCTGGATAACGAAATGGTCATTTCCAGTCGAAAGCAAACACCATCTAGTTAATTAGAAATTTTGAGAGTGGGAAAGTTGGAGGTGGCGTCCGCAATCAGCCACATAACTTTTTTTGACCCTCGCTCTATGAATTTTTCGCCAGCAAGCAAATCGCATTTCATTTTCATCACATAGTCCGAACGAACGAACTTTAGCAAAAGCAGCGGCTAATGAAGTTAGGTCTTGATGAATTTACTCGCGCGCACACTGTTTATTCATGAGAATCAACTTTTTGCTTCACGATGCATTATGGAAGCGGCGCTCCCTGTATGCAAAATCTCGACGATAGGAGTTATTAAAATTCCGCTCGGCTCACTCGAAAATATACTCTGTGAGCGCATACTGGGTTGAAATGTCGTTTCATTAGCTGCGGCATAATGCAAGCAT